TCGCAGTGCTCCGTAAATTTCGATCCAAACTTCTCCTTAACCGAGGACCGCGGAAGAAACGCGGATCTTTTCGCCGACGGTGCCGCGTGTACATGTACGTAATCCTGTGTGCACTCTTTATGAGATTTACATGCGGGATCCGCGCTGGCAACCGGGGATTCGGCTTGCCCGCGCGTCTCACGAAACACCCCCCGTGTTTGCGCCGAGAAGGAGGCAGAAAAAAGGAAAGAGAGAGAGAGAGAGAAACGAAAAAAAGAGATAAACGAGAGGAACTCCTTTTAACTCCTAACATGAATATTTTAGAACAAAGGTGCTCAAATATCCTTGCCCCCGTCCCCCCTCCACCACTGTAGGTGAGAAAAGCTCTTTTAGCTCTTTCAGAGATGCGACGACGCGCACTACATATTCGTCTCGCATTCTCCGTTGTCCCAGAAAGCAGACGGAGGCATACATAGACACATCGTTGGTGCAATACATAAAACTTCGTCTCACCAAATACATAGTACTATCACCACCACTACCGCCGACACTCTACCGCTTCACCACCAGCACCGTCGTCGTCGTCATCACTGCGGTATTACAATGCCTGATACGGTGTACCGCCCGCAATGCCACGCCATTATAGCCGTGGAAAAAGCACGCGTAAGATGACGCTGATACTCCACAGACGCTCGAACGCAGGAAAAGCAACGGAATCAAGGAACAGCGCCCGGGGCCGCTTTACCCGGCGCCGCGGCAGCGGGATATTCCGATGGAATTTTGACAAAAAGCACACCGTCGTAGCGGCGCTTTTATGGAAGCGGCCGCAGTTAGACCGAGGCGAATAATACAGGTCGTAGCGAGGTAACCGAGCGATGGCGGCGATCAGTTTTAAATGAAAAGGTGCAGCCCGTTCTCCCCGCGAAAGCGGCTCTTCAATAACCGCGAGAGATACCGAGCATCGCGTATTTTCGCCTGTCAATTTTTCCGAGTCGATTTCCCGCGGAAAAAAGAACACGCCCGGCTGAAAATGAATTTTTTACGCGCCTCGCATGCGCGACGCTCGCGACCTGGCGATTCCGCGAGAGCGAGCGGTCCGAAACCGGCCGTGCGGAAGGTGGAGGAAATGCGGGTAATGTGGAATAGTCTGGTAATGCGAAATGTTGCGGGTTTTCTAACCCGTTGTGGGGCTGCGTACCACCCAAGAGACTCGAGAATCGCCCTATGTTTGAATTTTTCGGCCGTTATTCGCTTTCATATTTTTGTTTTACATGTTACACGAAGCCCATTGCGAAAGGTCGATGCGTTACGCCATTGTTATTATCACTTCCGTGAAGCTTGTCATCGCTAATCGATATCTAAAATATCCTGAGAATTATTAGGTTATTAATTATTATTCATTGCCGTCGGACTGATTTAGCTGCAGTTTTGCATAGATTCGCTTGGCAAGATTATTTACGCAGGAAAAACAGTCTGGCTGGCTGACGCAGAAATCGGATGGTGTCAGCTAGATTCAACAATGAAATTTAGAACAACTAATTAATACGTGGTTGCTCCGGCCAGACTTTCTTGATACCCTCAACTACAAATGTTTTAATGACAACTGCACTGCATTTGGTTGGCACACTGCCCTCCCGGTTTTTCAATTGACCAGCTGATCAATAAAAAACACGTTGATTGGCTGGAACCAACTCCTACCTTCCCCCCTCCCCCCTTCCAGGGATAAAGGAGCATATAAAGATAACCAATAAAAGGGCTCAGAATTAGAACGCCTTGATGATGCAAACTGCAATGTTTGCGAAAGGTTGGCAGAACGTTGATTTAAGACGCGGCACACCTCCGGGAGCAACGCAAGTCGATGAACGATATCTGTTAAGAACATATAAAAAAAGAACATACGACGTTATGTATTCAGTGAACGCTAATCTCAGTTATCATCAACAGTTTTCGATTCGTCTTGAAGGAACTTAGGGTATTCCACAATACCCGCGCTTCCGCCCCCATCGAAGGACGCGCAGAAAATCAGCCTCCGAAGGGCGAAAATTCAACAATTACAACAATTATAACAATTATCATTCATTTGATTATCATTCATTCGTCTAGCGAGCGTGTTCTCGCCCCTCGAACACGCGACGACGGTGGTCGCGCGGCGGCAGTGATATCGCGATTCCGAAGTCGTTTGCAAGTTCGAAACTAGCTTAACGCCTACATACTTAAGCCCGGCCGTCCACTGCGGAACCGTAATTTTATATTAAATCGGATTTAATGCGGCGAATGTAAGCGTGCTTCGCGTATAATTCCGTATTTACCGGCGCGCGCCCCCCGCGTCGCTAATTGAGTTTTAATTACTAGCGGCGGCGGAAACCGGGGCCTTCGTATTATAACCGCTTTTTAATATCGCGGGGAATGCGACCGATGGTCGGCGAGCGGAAGAATTTCCGGAACGCGGCCCAGTTGCGAGCCGGCTAACGTAAGAATGCTACAAACGCGACTGATTACGTAGAGCGGGTTAATTCGCGATCTCTTTCGCATCGAAAGCGCCTCGCACACGCCATAACCCGCTTCGCCGGAAATGCAACTAAAATGCCTATTACGGTGGGCAGCTTCTCTCTCGTATCCGGGAAATTGTGCAAAAAGCTCGCGGCCGCATTTTCGTCGCGACGCGCGCGTGAGCGCGCGTGACCCGCGCAGTCGCGCGTGTGGAAAGCGTTGATTTTGCGTAATCCAATGATCGTCACAAAGGGGAACGCAATCTGCACGCAATCTTCTCAAATATATCCCCGTAAGTGCGAGTGACGTCAGCGTCTTCATATAACTCCATCGTGAAACTTGGAAAATAGCTGCGGGCGGGACTTATGAAATATCTCGCGGCGTCGTATTACCGTGTAATGCAGTAAGCAGGAGTTTTGCATCCGAGGAGAATGCGCCAGTATGGTGTAGTGAAATAAGGAGCGGTCGCCACGAAGAAACGAAGAGAGAGAGAGAGAGAGAGAGAGTCTGCGAGCGAGTTAGTAAGAAAATGAGCTGCGGAGGGGAGGGAGAAGGAGAAGCCGGGGGTTAAGCCGAAGAAATGCACCAGGGAAAAATTGCGCGACGTCCGCACGAGACGACACCATTAGGATCGCGCAAATTGCGAACAAAGTCGCGAGTGAGCGCATGTACACTCGCTCACCTGTTTAAAGCGCGCCGGTGGGCGGGCGGGGGTGCGAGAACACGCTTATTTTTCCGCCGTCTTAAAGTTAATCTCGCGAGTCGTCGGGGACAAAAGCTACGGCTCTCGACGCTCCCGCGCCCCATCCGTTATTTTCCAGGTCACGACGGAGCTGCCCGTGGCAAACATTTTTGCGCTGCGAAATGAGACCGGATGGGGGCGCTTGTTTAAAGTTCGACCATTCGCGCTTGGAAAAAGGGAGACCGGCTTTTTACGAGAGCATTCTTGTGATCGTGACTGTCGGGATTAACGATGCTCCACAACATAGTCGTGCTTCGAGTTTGTCACGATTAAAAACTATAATCCTATATCCGAGCCGGAGAACGAAAGAAGAAACTCTCATTATATCGTAGAATATAATCCTTTGAGAGAGAGAGAGAGAGAGAGAGAGAGAAGCACGCACGTAGAAAATTTATGACATATGCAAATTATATAATTATAATATAATAAAAGAGGAAAATGGTCTAAGAGAAAAAGATATATATATATATATATATGATTTATCTAAAACAAAAGAGAATTATTAAATACATATGACTGCTCTCACTTGATTTAATTAAAAGGAGAAGGAATTTACAAGCCTTCAGGAACCAAAGTACAGATATTTTATATAATACCAATTTAATATTAATATTGCCAATATTAATATGTTCACGGGAGGATATAATGCTTGTACGTGTATTACCGCAATTTAGTTTGGATGAAATTCTAGGTTGGCTTAATAGAGTTATATTAATTTAGAATTACATCAACAAAAGTATATGACGCGTGAGGATTTTCCGCGTCACAGAGTACTCCGCGAGCACAGAAGTATAATATAATCCGTGCGTTAACGCTATAAAATCTGTGCTTTGATTCTTAAAGAGCCGTAAATTCTTCCCTCCCTAGCGGAGGGGAATTATACGGAGTAAAGGAAAACCGTCCGGCTCCAGATCTATTGCGAATCGGTAGAAGCAAGACGGTAAGTCCGATAAGTCCGCTTATCGGGCTCTCTATCTCTCTCTCTCCATTGGTCCTCCAAGGATTTTGACTACGCCGGTGCAGGGCAATTCGGCGATCGGTGACTAAATAAACACAGATGGTTCTCAGAGGGCAATTACCTTAAGTAAACCCTAGATCCTACACTTCGAAAACGGGATGGTTCGATAGTTGGAAGTGTATGCTGGGCAGTTGCGGCCAGCATGGCGAGGTTCGTCGCGCAATTCGACCGTGTCTAATTAGGCTCCACCGGTTGGTTGCTTATAAAATGTCAGCTCCGGAAAAAATGTCAGATCCACGGAAAGCCGCTTACGAGGGAAACGCGAGCGTCTCTACCGGGCAGCCAATTACTACGCGTCGCTTTAATCCCTTCGCGAAATTATGCTTCGGTTTGTTCTCACGGGACGTTCGTGAAATATGTGCGATTGCGACAAATAACGGAGGTGATGTAGAGAGAGAGAGAGAGAGAGAAAGCCGAGAAATTCTAGCGAGAAACTGGGCAATCTCTTAATCTTGAGGAAAGAAGAGAATCTTAGGTGATGTTTCTTTAAAACGTATACGACCACCTCGTGCGGTTGTCGTCAGTTCGCCGGGGGATGAAGGGGAACGGGGAAGCGGGGCAATTTTTCGAAGCGCGTCCTTTCGCGCACATAACTCTCCCGGATTCATTTTTCCGCACTGCAGCGCAATGCTGCAGCACGGAGAAGTGCGGAGAGGACGGCGTTATTCGTCGGAAGACAAAAAGAAGTTGGTTCTCGTGTGATACAGAGCACCCCGCACAGTTTGCACCTGAATCGACACTAACGAGTCACGTTTCGTTTTCTCGTTGCAGTTGGCGGCCACAGCGGCCGGGAAGGGATATTACCAGCAGCGGCAGCCCCGGTAAGTAGAATCTTAAACGTTATTGACCTACTCCCCCGGGCAAAGATCGAGGCAATATCGTTCTCGAGCGTCTGAGCGCTGGTGATACTTGACGATATCCTGAAATATCGCGGCGATAATTCCCAGAGTAGATCACCGAGAGCTCTTGGTCGGCGGCCGTTATTTAAATTTTTCTCCTCATCCGCATTCTGTCGGATGAGGCGTAAAGAGATACGCAGGAACTAGGACATCCGGCGATTTGCTCCTGGAATTGCCGCACGGAAAGGAAAAGATTAGCTGTTTAGCTAAATTAGTTGCTACATATAGACGCGTAAAACTTTAGCAGCGTAAGCAATTTTAATTGCTGCGCCGGCAAACGTGTTATCGTAAATGACATTCACGATAGTACGGCTCGCAGCAAAAGAGTTTGCTATCGCAGCGATTAAAATAGCTCACGCTGCTAAAGTTTTAGGTGTTCACATGTTGCAACGAATTTAGCTATCGCGGCTGATCTTCTTCTCTTCCGTGCAGGTTTGCCTGGACGTTGATTTCGATCAACCAGCTCTTTGTTCGCATCGACACATATTTCCCACGAAGTAATCCTTGTTCGATTTACTCGAGGAAGATTGTGAATTCAGTTCAGCGAACTTGAATCGTCGAATTTGAAAAATTCCTTGTTACAGGATCTTACTACTTTAAGGACGACGGCAAACGCGACAATGGATAATAGCGACGATATCGCGCGAATAGGAATACCTGAGTTAACTGAAAAAGATGGAAATGACAAAGTCGATCCGAGCGAGGTAGATGAGAGCGTAGAAAAAGAAGAAGCAGAGGGGAAAGAAAATGAAAAAGAAGAGCAGGAAGTGAATGAAAAGAAGAGAGAAGAAGAAGAGGAGGAGGATGATGATGAAGAAGAAGAAGAAGGAGCAGAAGGGGAGGAAGAGGAAGAGGGAGAATACGACGACGAGGACGAATATGAGGACGAGCTGAAAGCGATCGCGGAGTCTCACGAAGCGATGTCGAAGGACGAGGCGAAGAACTCGAACGCGTCCTCCGCTGGCAGTGAACGTGCGGAAGGAAAATTATCGAGTGTGAAGAACTTCGATTCCCACGAGAAGAGCAACGAGGACATGTCCGACGAAGATATAGCGTCGAACGAAGCAATCGGTGGTGACGTCATCGAGGAGGAGGCCCAAGACGAAGAGGTCAGGAACGATATTTACTTGGGGAATCATCGAAATTACCGGGAGTTCGAAAATTTTCTTACATTCATCGCGTCGTGTGAAAATGCCGGCGTAGAGGAAAAAGATCGATTAAATAAACGCGACAGTACGAAACGCGTTTTGGACGAAGAGAATAGGAATTATGATTCTTAAGAACCGAATTTGAATTCGTGAGAACTAGAAATTTGGTTTCTTTCAACCAAAACACGTTTAGTTGTCTATTGTCAAGTAGATCCAGTCGAATTCATTTTTCAATGTCCCAACGAAAACGTGTTTGATTCTTCTCCGTTGTCACGTTAATTTAGCCAATCTTTCTTCTGCGTGCGCGAAAGTTTCGATAGTTTAATCGTCAAAATTAACGAACGCGAATTCTGGTTCTTAAAAACTGAGTCTAGAACTCAAGAACAGAATTTGTAGTTTTTGAAAACCGGAAATTCGATTTCTTTCCATCAAAACGCGTTTGCTTCATTCATCGTGACGTTCATTAAGCCAATCTTTCTTTCACGTACACGTTGCTTTATATCTGCGGACGTTTCGACAATAGATTCAATCACTGAGATGAACGCGAATTCGGGTTCTTAAGAACCGATTCTGGAACTTAAGAACAGAATTTTCAGTTCTTAAAGATGTATTTTCAATGGTGCATCAAAAGGCTACTTTGGATTTTGTATTTATCAAGCAAAATTACGTTCCTACACACTTATTTTACTAAATAATAAATGTTAATTTAAAACTTCTAAGTGCAGGGTATAGGGTTTACTTAAGGTAATTGACCTCTGTAGACATATACAGGGTGTCCCAAACTTTTCCCGGTCCCCATTGTGTACGGAACGGATAAAACTGAATAGAAAATTTTGCAAAATTCGCAATAGTTAATGAGGAATTAATTATTTTATCTAAGTTAATGAGAGCACGGGAAACGGTAGGCTAGACTATATAAAGGAAAATGGCTTACCTATGAAGATTTCCTATAAACGATGACTATGATACGTAAGAATATATATATTTCAAATATTATTGTAACTTACGAACTTTATACCGCTGTATTTTCACAACATGATCAATAATTCCGAAATTTGTTTATAATGTCTGCATATTAGTCTTTAATATCACAGTAGTTTTTCATTAAAATCTTACTTTTAGTCTAAAATAGATTTAAAACAGAAATTAAAAATAGCACGCTAATTTTTTAAAGAAACATGTGTAAAAAGTGTTAACTATAATTATAGATATCTCAGTATGCTCTGTATGGTCAATCTTTTTCTAATTGCACGAGCAATGAGTCAGATAATATCTCGATGCATATAGTAGTACAAGTTCCATCGTAATTCTTATCAAACTCATTTCACCTTACAACCTTCTTTAAAGTGAAGTAACTTTCGATCCAGGCTCTGAATTACTGTCAAACTTTTAATGGCACTTTTAAACGCAATGCAGATCAATTAGTAATCTTCTCATAATTTCCTTCATTATATTTATGTTATGGCTATATGATACATCCTTAAGGGCCAGACAATCTGTTTCCCTCGGCGAGAACGCGTTTGTCTCGTGCATCGTCACGTTCATTCAGCCAATTTCTCTTCCACATGTACGAACGTTTCAACGATAGTCTCGTCGTCGGGATTAACGAACGCGAATTCCGGTTCCCAAGAACCGAGTCTGGAACGCAAGAATGGAATTTCCGTTCCTAAAGAACCAGAAATTGTGTTCGCCCCAGCCAAAACGCGTTTTGTGCTCGCATTGTCACGTTCATCCGGTCGATCTTTCTTCCGCGTGCGCGTTGCTTTATATCAGCGGGCGCTTCGACAATAGTTTAATTGTCGGGAATAATGAACACGAAGCCCGGAGGTTTCTCTGCGGCGGGAAAATGGTGTACAAAGGGAAAGGGGCGTCGAAATTGGGAGTTTCCCTTTAAGAAGCACGTTTAAGCATTAAGGCTGTGTTCTCTATAGAGAACTCCCGCGTACGTACGTACGTATGTATCGATGCAAACTGTTTCCCGATAGTCCGACGAAAAGCGGTTTCTGATGGTCTGCGTATGCGGATAAATATCGGGCCAAAGGGCCCGGCACGTAAACTGTTTTCAAGTCAAGACCCTTTGCAAACCGGAATCCTATTTCCCGTTCGCCCACTGCGTCAGCTTAACTCGCCCTCTTGCCTTTGATCGTTCTCACTTTGCCATTTCGTGCTCCGCAAACGACGTCGTGTAAACTGACTTCGACGCGCCACGGTTTTCCTTAGCATCCAATGCGGTTAAGATTGATTCTGGAAGAAGCCGGTGGAAATGGACGCCGCGTGAGGAGCATTTCGTTCGCGAATTTTCCGATCGGCCGCGGCCCTTCCCTCCCTATCGGGAATTCGATTAGTCGTCGCCGCGTTCCTTACGCCTTCTTCGTTCTCAACGTTCGAGCGGACCGCGGAGAACGAGCGTTACGTTGACATTCCGTCTGACAAAAGGTAAAAGGTCGGCGTGAGAAATGAAAAAAAAAAATATCGGAAGAGCAGCCCGGAAATCCGACGAGGCTGTCGTCGAGCGCGGTCGCGGGCTATTTAGGTAAATCCGGTCATAACGGGAATGCCAAAGGTTTAAATAAGTTTGAAATATATTGAAATAAACAAACCAACTTAGTTCTACACAGAAAAATATTCTCTGGACTATCCATTAGAGGAAAAGCGCAAGTTTCATAACGAAAGAATAGTAACGTATATATGAAGTGACTTGATATGATCAATCCTGTGGAATTTGGGTCGAAAAGTCTTTGCCCCAGGTTAACCATATATTCGCAGAGCTCCTTTTCTTGTTCGTCAGTAAACACTACTTTAAGGGGATGTTTGAAAACTTTACCGACAGTAAGGAAAGAATAGTGAATTTTTCTGCAAAGTTTTATGTCTTATGGGTTGAACAGAATCACAAATATGTTTCTGTATAGTGAAAATATGTGCGAAAATGAATTGGAACATAGTCCAATATGTGATGAGAGCGATTAAAAATTTTAAAAATCTCAAGCTGTCAAGTAAAATAAAAGTACCAGTGCCTTATGTACCTAACTATGGACATTCTTGTTATTTTGATCTTTAAATACAAATGTTTGTATATATTTAATATATGTATATATATTCTATGTTGAAAGTTTGAATATTCATGTTTAAAAACCAAAACAATAAAAATGTCCGGAGTTAGGTACGTGTCTAAGCATCGGTACTTTTACCTTAGACATTTACTTAAAATAAAAATTTTGCAACTTATACGTATCGAGTGTGTGTTTGTTCCATTGAGAAAAATTTCGAAGAATATTTCTGTACCTTTACAATTGTACATAAAAGCCTAAAAAGTTACGAAAAGTTTACAGAAACAATTTTATATTTCTTGGTTAAATTCTCCGTTAGATATGATAAAATAGAATAACATCTATTCATTTTATTCACATTTATGTCGCATTAACATTTACACAAGACCTATATGTATTGGGTGAGTGCAAAGGTTCGTTAAAACTTAAGCAGTAATTTGGCATGCAAAATTTTTTTCTTAATCAATGATCTCCGTCGTTTTCTACAATCTTTTCGCAACATTCCGGTAGCAGGCACGGCAGGATGCCTCGATTATAAAACGACCTCGGTTTTGCGTTGAAGAAGGAAGAACAATTTTTTACGGCTTCCAAGAATTTTTTCCTATTCAAATCGTTTGGCAATAATCGAAACAAGTGATAATTTGATGTTGCGATTATTGTGTCGATCATTAAACATCGATGTTACTGATATTTGGTGTTTACTGGGGTTGTCACAACTGTTCATTTTTTTAACACATTGTTCTAAAGTCACTTTGGATGCTCCAAACGTGACAGAAACTTTACGATAGTCCATTTTTTCCGTTATGCCTTGGAATGTATATAACTTTACTTTAAAATAATATAAAACAGCATAAATTATCGGTATTCGCGCAGGTTCTTTATTAAAGTAAACCAGAAAAGATCGTTTAATAAAGTAAATGCGTTTACGGTAGTAAAAAGTATCATATTATTTTTGCTTGCCTTACGTAAAAGTGTATCAAAGAAAACTGCAGTTCGTCGCGGGGAGCGCAGCGAAATATTTTGCAACAGCTTTCGGTTGAAAGTAACACAACACCTGACAACAGCACGCGATAAGAAATAACAACATAATCCAACAGTAATTATCGCAATTTAATAGCATTTAATAGCACGACAGCATCTCTGTAAGAAGTTATCGACCATATCCCATTGTGCCCCATGATTCTGTTATGCCTCGGGTTACTCAGTCTCCTTCTTCGAAACTCGAGAGAGGCGAGACTCTCTAAAGCACTCCCGCCTCTTCCGGGGCTCATTTTCAGGTGGCGGAATTGCTGAAGTACAAGATGGGGAAAGGCGCGAGGACGAAGGCGAAGCGCATGCCGACGGTGAAGAAGGAGCTGAGCACCCAGCGGGAAATATTGCTGGCCAGCAACGAGACGCAAGTGCCGAAGAGCCTGCTGCCCTCGGAAGATCCCTTCAATCGTTTAAACGGCAAAACCGACTACGTGGAAAGGCGGTCTTTGGAGAGAAACGAGGTGAGAGAAGCGCGACCTCCTCTCTTCCGGGAATAACGGCGCGATCGATTATTCCGCCGTGCCTCAAAATCCATCGTTTATACATACTTCCGGTTATTTATTTATTTCTTCCCCTCTCCTTTCCCTTTCTTCCGCCACGGCTGTTCATTCCATCGTCGTCCCTTTTGACGCGCGCTCGTTTGGGACGTAAATGCACGGCGACTTGGGATGAAATCTCTGGGCTGGAACGTGTTATTACGCAGGTTAATTCGAGTGTAATCCGCATCACTTCCACGTTTGATATATAACAGCAGTTTAACCTCCGGGCTCGCCGGGAAGCCTTTATATGTCCTGGATACACACGTTGCAGGGGGGGAGGGGACCACTACACCTTTCATCTACGTTACTCCCGAGCTTACGAGAGCGCACGGAAGAAACTTCCTTATCAGAAATTTGATGTGTTGAACATTAAGAAGCCATTAAAGAACACGGAGCGCGTAGCTGAACTTTGGACCTCGGCTTCTTTAGAAGAGGAAGGCGCAGGCTTGCCTCTCGCGTCCTCCTCGGGATCGCAACTTTTCAGCGTTCAGCTTTTCATATTTCGACAATTAGGCGTGGAACTGGAATCTCATTAGGGCCGGAGTCCGCTCGCAATTAAGCCCCGAGAGGGAATAACCACGTCGCGCGCTTCGCCGTTCGCCCATCTTCCCCCGGTGAAGAGCTCTCCGTTCCACTTAAGACTACTTACGAATTCGGTATTATCGGTATTTCGACATTTTTGCCGAAGAGAGAGAGAGAGAGAGAGAGAGCAGGAGCTCTCGGGCGTAGTCTTATCCCGCTTCAGACGGAATCGCTAACCGGCCGAGGATTATTATCAAGGGAATTATCGCTTCCCGCCGGTTTCGTCCGGTAAGCCGCTCGATCCGAAATCCGTTTGAAACACGCTCACTTTTTGATACTTCCCTCAGCCACGCAGCTGATGGCGAGGCATTACGGGCGATCCGCGCTCCTCCAAACACGGTGATCGATTGACGGCTAAAAAAGAAGATAAGCCATTGTCCCCATGCAAGAGATAAAGGGTATCCCGCGACGGTTCACCATTCCGGTTACGTCCATCACATTTATCACGAAGTCGCGTTTTATTCACTCGATCGCCCCGCGACAATTCGCGCATTTGTATCTGTCATGTTTTCTTACTTCCACCCGCCCGCACCGTTGCACACATGCCGCTACATTAACGCCGGCGAAAAAAAATCTCCCCCTATTTTTCCCACCCGTCTTCGACGGGGCACGCGCGACGTCGGCCGAAAACGTCGAACTTCTTCGATCATGCCCGGCCGACGAGCCGAAATTTTCCTGCTACTTTGATCGACGCTCCTAACGATGGGTTTGCGTAGACTTAAACAACTTATGGACTACTGGAAACCTATTTCGACGATGTTGGTACATATTAATTTCTCTCTCGAAACTTTAATTTTACAGATTTATATTTATATACGATAATTTTTTACTACGGATAATTTCAATGCTATCTGGAACGCATTTTGATGCTATTTTGGCGTTAATATATAGAATGGGGTAAACAAACGAATAAATTTAAATAGCCATTTATATAGAAGTGAGAAATTATATTTCCAAAGCACATTATTTATCGCCCCATTGCTCCATGATAACTAAATGAAATAGCGCTAGCGACAAGTCAGCGCACGTAGTAATCTAAACTAATTCTGCTCTAATAGCCAAATGCTGGAGTAAATAAATTTGTTAAATCGCCTGTTTTTTTAGCCATCCTTTGTATATATATAAACAACACACACACATACATAATATAAATAAATTTTAATAATATAATTAACTCTTACTTTCACACCGACGAAATATCTCAAAATTTCCGTTTTCGCTATTTTAGCACTAAAATAGGTTGTTCAATGTAGCATTAAAATTATCTATACACAGAGAAAATAATTTTACTGTTGTAGCGAAACCATCGTTGCCACTGCATATTCGTTGCGACCGCGATAAAACCAAATTAGCGAATTATTCTTAATTAGAACAGAAACAGTGTTGTTTCCAGGACAGAAAATTCTGGTTAACGCATTTGTCCTTAGGACACGTTAATTTATTATTAAAACAAAATAACACGCTAACGGAATGAAATGTATATAAATAAATATTTTCCTACATTTACTACTTTGTTCTTACAACAGAATAATTTATAGATTAAGTAAAATAATCCAGCGAACGACGCTGATAAATCGTTTTACTGCTCACATAGAGACTGACAGATTTTGCCGCGACAGCATAAAATTTGCTGTTCCAGTAAATTAGTTTTCCTCGTATAGAAATAAAATTATCTAATTATAAATTTAATTTAAGAGTAAAATTAAATGCTCAAGAGAGAAGTTAATAAGTGTTAGCATTGTTAAAATAGATTTTTATATAGAATATTATTATTATTTATAATATTGCACATAATATCATACATAGTGTTATACATTCAGAGAAAGAATTAACAATAAAGAAGTTAAAATTTAGCTGTGGTAGTTAAATGTGAACAGCTAAGTCGATGCTACTGCAGTTAAATATATTAACTGTTTGAACTTAGTTGCTACAGCAAGAAATATTATATAGGTCGCGCAAAAATACACAGTCGGCATAATAAAAGTTGTAATAATTTTTTTTTCGGTAAGTTTCGCAACACTTTCCGGTGTCTAATACGAACATTTTCTTTTATATTCTTTCGCTCTTATATTTATTCGTAATTCTCAAGAAATACATTTTCCTATCGGATACGAAATACGTTGCGAAACTCATCGAAAATAAAGTATTGCAACTTTTATTATGCTGTACTAAAATCATATCCACATTTCCGACTAAAAATTTATTAATTTTCTTTTAACATAAGCTATTCTTAAGTTGTTAACGCATGCTGATTTTTTATGAAATTTAGCCACCTGATTTAACGCTATATCCGGAAAACACGCTTTTAAACGTTAATAAGTCCGGATCCGAGATCTCTAAATCGTGATTCAATCATACTTAAATACCACGCCACTTCATCGATTGATATAAACGTATTTCGTATTGTTTATTTAGAGTATAACCAGAGAGAGAGCATAGCTAATTAACCTTAGCTACTCATGTTAGTAATTTCAGCTAATAAAGTCGTACCTCACAGCAAATGCATTTTACCTCTAACAGCCAACTTTTAGCAATGGCAGCAAAGTTCGAACTAGCTAATGAGATTTAGTCGCTTTTACTAAATTATTTCTCCGATTGTTTTATATAATTACATTATAATTATATATATCTAAACCGTTATAATTAGAGCCATTGTGACCCTATCATAATTAGAATTACTTATGCGATTTTCAACCTTATGGATTATACATAAAACTGGAAATCGTGTAACTTTCCGTCCAATGAATTGCACAGTACATATGACGCTGGCTGTACATGCGAGCGATTACGATAAAAGGAGAAAAGGGAAAAATACTTGAAAAGGAGGGGATGACGGACGAATACTTTCAATTACTTTCAATACCGCCAACAATTGCAGGCGCCTCGATGTCTCTCGTGAACAAACAGTTTTAATTAAATTAATATTTCGCCGTCAAAGGGGACGTTTCGACGACGGCGGTGCGAGGATACTTTTTGCAATATTCACACTGTCATCTTTCAGCGAAGATCCTCTCATTAGCGCCGTTGACGGGGAGTGTCGGCTGAACAAAAGGGTGCATTCTCCTGGCTAATTCAATATTCTTCGCACGGCGATACGGCGCGATACGGCCGTGACAATTGCATTTACGGCACACAAAAGATGCTGCCGCCGGCGGCTCCTGCAGCACGTGTCTCATAACGCTCTTCCTAAAGGGGGAATTAATGAATTCGTCGCGATCGATGCTTCGCGTCTCGCTCGCTCGGCGGGGTCCTTCGCGAAACTATCGCCGACGGCGTTAAATATCGACAGCCGCCGGTTAATGACACATCCGGCGAGGAGACAAAAAAGGGGAAGACGCATTAATTATTTCGCCTCGCGGTCCCTCGTCGGCTATATTCGCTTTACGCAATACGACGCCACCCCCGTATCGACTTGGCAAATATTTACGGAGTAAACGTTGCCGTTCCCGGCATCCCTTATGCGATCTGCCAATATTGCGTCCCGATAAAATGCGCGTGGGCGCGCCTGTGCGTTGCAGAAACAATCTCCTGTAAGAGATACACCGCCGCCGTATCACGAAGGAAATAGACGCGACCTCAGATATCAGACCCAGACAGGAGACAGAGAGTGTTCCCGCGAGTGGCGAGTTATTTGCTTCCGTGATCCTCGGCGGGAAATTGCATCGCAAGATTGCCGGAACCGCATATGGCGGTTTCGCCGGGTCGCACCTGCGAAAGCCACATTTCGACGCGCTCTTCGAATAGATGATCCGCGAATGATACGTGAATTTAGATACTCCGCTGCCGCCGTGAATTCATCCCACGAAACACTGAATAAGAGATCGCTCGAAGAGAAACCCGTCATCCGGTCATTTTATTATTTCTATTATTTTCTTCGCCCTTCCCTTCGAATGTATCTTCCTTCCGTTACATCCTTTTGATTTCGTTCATTTATTTGTTCACTCAACAGGGTCAGGGGTGCACGTTTTTGCGTAAAAAGGGTAGCGCGTGTTTGATTTGCAGTTAGGAGGACGAAATGGACGGCGCGCGATAAATTCGCGAGAAATTCGAGCGAAAGGATTAACGTTGACGGTGTTTTCGTCGAACGTCGATTCGTCTATTTCTATGACGTTCTTTTCATTCTGAAAAATGAAACGCTGATGCGATGTTATCTAATCCATCTGACAGTTATATTATCGACATTGTTTGTTATCATGTTAATCTTCCTGTATAGGTTCAAGAAGTCGCTTTGGCGGACAGTTTGCTGAAGTTTTTAGTGAAACTGGCGGAGGATCCGAACAGATGGCAACGTGTACATAAATTTCTCAGTAAGTCGAGCCTTAACGACGCTTAGACGTGACCGTTCGAACCTCGTCGTTGCGCACCAGTGCATGAATGTTATTTCGACTTAAAAAATGTACGCCATCCTTCAAAGAATTATTAATGCTCCAGAGATGTGCGAGTCAAGGATTTTTGACGTCGAATCGGACCGAACCTCATTTTTTATTTTCGAATCTGAATCGAATCGACGACATTTTGCCTGAATCAAATCAACTTTTAATTAACAACATAATTATTTAATTCAACGTGAAGATAGCGAAAAGAAGTTTCGATATGAGAGAGATAACATCGATCTTGTGATATCAACTCATTTTAAAGTAAGATGTATGTATTAAAATATTTAGAGTAAAATCGATACTGATGAAATATATTTCACTTAAGGTAGCAATAATTGAAACAGTCAGATATGAAAGATCATAAATCAATTGCCAAAGGACTTTGAAGAATATTGATATTATCGGCTATTTACAATCAATCACAGAGTCTGAATGATTTTAGAAATGCAATTTCATAAAAATTGACTGTATAAAATATATAATATATTACGCATAATATATTGCATAATATATTGCATTGTAGATATATATGCATATCTACGAGATTCACATCAGAAAATTTATAAATTGTAATAAACTAAATTTGATATTTATATCAAATGATTAAAAATAACCATTAATGTCAATTGCTTTTCAATTATCTACAAATCCATTTGATATCATAATATGAAGATTTACTTGGACATGCAAATTTTAATATTATCTCTCTCGCCGATGTCTTGAATTACAGCTTTTGATATTTTTGAAGGGAATCTTAACGTACAGCGATTTTTTCAAGTAATGCCAATTTCTGTAGGGCTGGTCGTTTTTAATAGTACTTCGTCAATGTTGATACGCGCGATTCGCATTCGAGTCTTCTCGAATCGAAATTGTCGAATTATTCAGTTTCAATTTAAATTCGAAAACTTCGCACATCTCTAGAATTAACGTGCACACGAGTACGACGTTTATACGATCCCGTGCGGAATTGACGGGGTTCAAAATCGAAAAAAAAAAAAAGAAAGAGGAAAGAAGATTACGAGAGATAAAACTGACCCAAAGCAAGAAACTGGTCGGTCGATCCTCGCATCGCGACGTCACGAAGACGCAAGGCAGTTTTGTGGATGAAGACGACGAAATGGAGTGGGCGCGCGGAGAGATACTCGCGGAATCCGGATTTTATTGAAAAATTACTGTACGTGTCGGGCGATTCGTACGAGCCCGGCACAAAGGAACGAGGAATTGTGCGCGCCGGTCGCCGATACTGCCGATAAATTCCAATTGAGCCTTTTCAGAGAGACACAAAGGTTAGCTATCCCCTTCCCCGCCGTGAAGGGAGAAACGGCTCCTACAGGTGCGGAAAGGCGGCACCCGGTCGATTGGTAATCCAATAAAGTCTCACAATTGTTCAATTAGGAGGCCGTCGCTTGCATTATTGCCCCGTGTAATTGCTGTCTGACAATTAACTTGTCCTTACGACCCGGAAATCAGCCTAATCCGATTCCCCGCGCCGTTTCTGAAGGCTGTATTTTTGCCCGTTGCGACGGCCTGCCGTCGACGCATCTGCCTCTCCCTCTCTCTCTCTCTCTCTTTTGCAGTCGTACTAAGGTAGTTGATCTGTAAATTTATTTTCATAGGAATATCCTCGAACAGCATATGAATCGAAACACGATTTATACGCACACAGTATTAGAAAAAAATTGACTATACTATAGCTGAGATAATTGAAGTCAAAGCACTATTTACACGCAAAAAAAAAGTGCTAGGTTCAAGTAAATAATTGCTCCAATATTCCCTAACAAAATTTTTGCACGTATCAAATAATATTTTCCAAGTAAATTATTCAAGTAAAATATATTTACATGATCCATAAAATTTACTTAATCCAAGCAAAAATTTGCTAAGAAATATTGGAGTAATTATTAACTTAAATACGGCACTTCTTTCTATACACAGCGACCAAATTACTTTTAATGAAAAACGGTTTTAATGAAAAACGGGAAGACGATAAAAAATAGAAATATAAAGAAAATTACATAATAATATTGATTATCCTGTTTTTCAGAAATTGATATGTAAAGTATATAATTTCTGATAACGATTGAAAAATATGACAGCTTATTTGTAAAAATCTGGCAATATTGTACGCGCTATATTTCCCTTTGTGGCTCTTTATTAAACATTTTTTAAGGATAAACGGATTAAACTATCCGAAAAATCTATAATCGGTACGTAAAAATGCGAAAAGTACAAAAAATACAGAAAAATCCGACCCCACGATCATTTCTCTAATAGCGTGCATTCGTGTGCGCTAATGGGGGGAGGGAGGAGTATATATAATATATTCACAAACGATATGCTTAATATGGAAAATCCCAGCCAAAAATATCATACGTCGAAGCGCGAAAAATGATTATTTCTTTATGAGTTTTCGATTGATATTCTCGTGTCGTCTCAAAACTGTGTATTATAAATCACGTTTATAAACATGTAGTACAGATTTCGAGTTTCTTCGTGTTGTATTAACTATCACCTTTCTAATAATATTGTTGTGATCCGCTCACCTTAATTGGAAATCCTTCGTAGCACATCAGAATACATGAATGAAGAAATCACCAAGTTCTCTTTTTCTCATATCGCCGTTATACCGCGAACTATTCTGTCCTAAAAGCGGTCTTCGAAAATAGGATATCGTTTAAACGAATTCACCGCAAATTCCATCTTTAGCACTCTAATCTACCTTGCAAATCCGCGCGTTTCCGTCGTCTCGCAAAACTAACGACGAATCCCACTTCCCGTAATCGAATAACTTTTGCCAACCTTCCGCGATATTATTATCGCACCCCCGCAGCTAACATGGAGAACGACCTGCAAGCGTCCGAGAACATCCAAGACCCGGTGAAGCGCGGCTACGACACTACGTCGTCGCTGTTCTCCACGACGCCGGCCTCGACGAATGCGCCCAAGAAGAGCCGCAAGAAGCCGAAGAAGAAGAAGAAACGGCCGAGGCATCGGCAAGTATCAACGACTGTTCCTGCGAAGACCACGACGAGCCCGGAGACGTCGACGCCGATCACAACGACGGAGGCATGGTCGACGACGACGACGCCGCAATGGAGGAGACTCGTAGCCGAGAGGCTATTCGGGCCGCCTTGGCAGCAAGAGGAAGCGAAAAATCTGCCGAAGGTCCATTACGGGCTCGCCTCGAAGCCACGCACGTCAGTTCTGGAACTCGTAAACCTGGATAAGCCGAGGAATATCCTGAGGACTATGAACACTGAGCGAATACCTCTGTTAGACTTTCCCCGGGAATCCAATACCCAATCGCAATCGCTGAGGTTCGGCAAGATCAACACTTATCAGCCCTTACGCCTTCAAGATTCTCGAGAATTCGCACCCCTGTACGATCGACCGGCAGGTAAGAGCTCGACGTGTCCTCGATGCGATACGATGCACGATGTTGACGGAATAGCTTTAGAAATATCGCGCGGACAGTTTTTTTTCACTTTAGCGAGAAAACGTCGAGGAAATATATATGTAATTATCAGTGAAGTAAATAATGGATATATTAAATAATTCAAAATAACCGGGTAATTATCGAAATACGTTATGAATGTACATAATTTGGGATAATTAAATAATTATCGATATAAATATATCGTGAAATAATGCTCGGTAGTTTCTGATTTACAAATTACTAAAATTAATACACGGAGGAAGATAATTTTCTGACGCAGCAAATTTTATGCTGCCGCAGCGAAATCTGTCAGTTACTATTCAGTGAACAGCAAAATGATTATTTCAGTATATTAATTGCCATTCGTCGGATTATTATGCTGAATCAAGAAATTTTGCTGTAAAAACGAATGTAGGAAAATACTATTTTGTTCTGACAGCAAATTGACGGGTTCTAAGAACAAATTCACTCAGTAAAATTTTTTTGTCCCAACAAAATTCACTCAGTAAAATTGTTTTGTAGCAACAAAACTGCTACCGTTTTAATTACGAATAATTCGCTAATTTGGTGATTCCAACTAAATTTTATCGCTGTCGCAACAAATATGCAGTAGCAAGGATGATTTCGTTACAACAGAATTATTTTTCTCTGTAAGGTAAATGTCCCAATTAGTAGCAGTGTCCCAATTTGTAACAATCGCAATTATTTTTCTTAATAAGTCAGATAATAAAGCTTTATCAGATCATTTATTTAAAAAATATATTTTTACCTTAAATTTTATATATAATCTGTTACAATGTGTTAAATAAAATTAAAAATTATAGTACATACTAAATTATTATAAATATAACCGTTCTGTTAACGGCGCAAGGTAACAGTTCGAGCGGTAATTATTTTAAAAGTTCGCTCTTAATATGAGACATTTATTTGACATTTTTTTGTAGTTATTCTCTAATGTCTTTTTATAATTCTTCTTTAACCTCAAGCGATTGAAATCGTACTGTCAAAGTCGAGGAAAGTTTAAGAATATTTACAAAATCAAGGTATATATCACTAAATGGTATTTCCGTCATATTTAAGATATTATAAATTAAGAGAGATATCATAAATGAATTTTCCTTTTTAATCTTATCATAATTTTAAAAAATATGATACAATTAGAATCACAAATGTTCGAACTGTCGAACGAAATAAATTTTATGTACTTAGCTTAATATTATTAATTTATTCATTTTTATTGATTCATTTTATTGATTCATTAAAATTTATCGATTCATGTTCACGATAAGATTACTTTATCACTAATTGGGACATTCATCTTATAAACCTTTCACAAATCACATTTAGTTTCAAAAGTTCGATCGATAATATGTGATATTTAATTCTGAATTGAATTTTAAATGAACTTAAACTTTGATACGCTCTCATTCCGAGACTCTTTTATCAAGACGCGGGGTCTGTTACGCCGGTTTCACTAGCATTTTCGTTATCTTGGAAATCTGGTTTCAACCCGACTACGTGCTCTATCTGCGCACTTCACGCAAATGTATTCCAGATTCAGATCGCCCGGCCGATTACTACTTATCTGAAGCGGTTTACCCGCCGGTGCGTTATACGCCCACCCGCGAATTCCTGCGGCGCAGGAACGAGAACGATTATCAGGACGACCTGACTCTACAGACGGACAATTTCGCGTACAACCAGGAATACAGGCCGTCGAGCAGAGAATTCGCCAGCAGCAAAGGCTGGCCGGAGCTCGCTTACAAGCCCGGTCGGGCATGGAACTCGGACGAGCGTCCCCTGTTCACGATGTCGTCCGGCAAGTGGCCTTGGGGACAGCAAAGCGATTTTAAGTATTGGCCGGAGCGCGGAAAATACTCGGAGCGGAATTACTGGGGCGCCTTGGGGAGCGAGGAGGACGGCGATCGAATGAACCAAGCGGAGCTTGAAGAGTGGCAGCAACAACGACTGCCGCTCTGGGAGGCTGGCAAATCGAACGTTTGGCCGGTGGGGGAGACTCTGAAGGCACCATTGTGGCCTCAGACGGATAGACCGATAAAACCGTACGATCAATCGACTACGTGGGAGAGGAGCAAGAATCATTCCGAGCTGAACAAGAAGGAGGACGCGGCCGACAAGGTGGTGCTGCCGAAGATTACCATGAAGACATGGAACAGCCTGACATCCGACCCCGCCACTTGGCCTTACAAGCTGCCGAGCGCAAAACCCTGGCCGAAGGACGAGAACGGCAAGTCGTACAATCCGAACGCCGACCTCGTTAGGAAGCTCGGCCTCGACAAGGAGAACAACGCGGACTGGCCGAAGGACAAGGACGACAGGACGGGGAGGTTAGTGTTCGAGAAGCAGATAGACCCGGTCTCCAGCAAGGACATGTTGAAGAAGAAGGAATTCGCGCGGCTGAACGACTCCAAATACAAGCCGATCAGCAACAGGAGCAATTACAGCGATTACAAGAGACCGTCGCAGAACTCCGTGAAGGAGACGCCTAATTGGATGTATCGGGACGTGAAGCAGCCGGCCAAGGAGTGGATCAAGCCGCAGATCGCGGCGAATTCGCCGAAGAACGGCGACGTTTGGGAGCGAAAGTTCGACGTGTCCGCCGGAAGTCAAGTCAAGAGCGACGGGAGCTCCTTCTCGCGCTTCTGGCCGCTCAACACGGTCGCCGAGCAAAAGTGGTCGGATAAGGAGAGAGACGATCTGACGGGAGCCTGGAAAGACAATGCGAAGGATAACAGTCCGCTGAGCACGAAGGTGAACAATGGGAACTTCTGGAAGGAAAAATCCAATGATTTCTGGCTGCCGAAGACAAAGGCTGACTTCTGGGCGACGAGAATGAAGTCCGGACCGGCCTCGAGAATGGGCGACAACAATTCGTGGACGTCAAAAGCGGAGCACAGCGCCTCGTGGATGCTGAAGCCGCACGACGCGACCTCGTGGACGACGAACGGCGATATTTGGGGGAAGTCCGGCAGCTCCGATCCCTCGTCGGCCGGTTCCAGCGAGCTGCCTGCGTGGAGCGCGAAGGAGAAGAACCTCGTGGCTGAGAACACGTGGGTCCCCAAGTCCAACAACGTCGAGGACTGGCCGCAGAAGGCCAAGGACAATAATTCGTGGGCGAGCAAGTTCGGCGGTATGGCCTCCTGGAAGAGCAACGAGGACAACTGGCCTCGGAAGAGCGAGCCAGCCTCGTGGCAGCAGAAGATCAATGACGACTGGAACATCGGTTACGGCAAGAACTCGCCGAGCACGTGGCCCTCCAAGTGGAAGCAGTTCGTCTACCACAAGGTGACGGCGGTGCCGATCTCGAAGCCGGGCACGACGGCTGACGTCTCGTCGCCGAAGTCGAAGAACGCGTTCGTCGCGGTCTCCGCGGTCTCCTCGGCGAACTACGGCAACGAGTGGAGGAAGAATGATGCGGAGGAGGCGATGCGGGACGACAACTTCAGGCTGGAGGAGGCGGACCGACCGGGCGGACAGATCCGGCCGGAGGCCGACCGGCCGATTTACGCGTGGAAGAAGGATGGCTCGGAGCTGAATAATGCCGGCCGTGGAAAGAGTAATGGTACCGAACCGTTGGAAAACCAATTGGAGGCCCTGAGGCAGGACGACTTCTGGCCGTGCAAGCCCAACAAAGCCGAGACGAGCGAGGTAATGGTCCGCTGCGATTTTTCACAAACACGCGCGCGCGCCTTTCATACTCTTTTTCATCCTTCCGAACATCACAAGCGCGCGCTACCAGCTGTTCACATCCGGCTTTGGAAATAATCTTGAGAATATTTCGCACTGATTTCCAGACTTGGGATTGATTTAATAATCATCGTTTTAATAATTATAAAAGGATCTTTCGTTTTATATATAATTATTAATTTATCTTTTATTTGTTGATATGTACCAATAATTTAATTTATAAATATAGCACGCGCGCCTGTCATGCTCTTTCCTTAGCTTTTAAACAGTGTCTACAATGAGAATTTAAAGCGTAAGACCTCAGCTTTAAGCCTTAAGCTGTAAGAAATTGGCTAATCATAGTCGAGTGCGAGAAAAATAATCAATTGTGATTGGTCAGTGGCTTAAGGTTATAGACTTAAGTCTTACGCTTTAAATTTTCATTACAGACACCGCTTTATAACATTACGAGCAATTATAAACGCGCTTCACTGATATTTCATCATTTTTTTAATTTATCGACGTTTCTGGGATATTTGTATTGGGTTATTCGATAAGTTCGTAAGGATTCTCGCGAAGGGTTCAAGGCCGATACTTTCACCGTTGGGTATAACTTTATTCAATAATGTATCGTGTGTGTGATTCTGTTCTTTTTTTCGATATAAAATATAGTAATATATAAATATACATAATATGATATAATATAAGATATAATAAAATATAATATACTTCCCATAGAGAGTTATACTATAACTAGAAAATATGGGCTTTGAGTTTTTTTTGTAAAAATCCCTACCAACTCGTGAAACAACCCAATATGTTCTATTCCTGCTCTGAGTCAGATGCATGGTTTTTTAATAGTAGTTTTTCAACTATCTGGTTGTGGAAAACAGTGTTTACATCGCGGTACAGCGTACATACATCGCTGTATTTATTAACGGAAGTTATATCTTGAAAAAGTTTTTCTCCCTATCTCCCGTTCTCTTCATAGCATCAAAAGATCCAGCTTGGTTATCATAAATAAAATTTTCATGGTCCAATCTGTGTCTTGCGTTTGACAAACGAGCGCAGTTTCTCGTTGCGCTTGGATGCCGAAAGCTCTACGCTCCCTGAAACTTCGACGCCAGGCGTCGTTAATTAACCCTTGTCGAACAGAAGTAGCGCCTGAGGCTGGCGCTGGGAAATCTATCGGAAACTGTAGATATTTTATGTCTATCGGAAAATACTTCTCGCCAAACTAGTCCGCAAGTGTAACTTTTTAGTGCCGCTAAAAATTCGACATTATACCAGCCCCACGATAGGTGGTGAGGATATAACGTGCCTTCGGCGCAACTGGTTTTTCAGATTATTGCCAATAGAATGTCACATGTGGCTGATAATAAGCTCACGTGATTCTAAATTGTCACGGGGCAAGAAATATCTTTATACACGGGCGCGCACGATTTCACCTTTAACTCGTGAAATTTTGGAGAACATGCTTTTTTCATTCGCAATCTGCTGATGAAAGTTACAAAGAGATTCTCAAATATTATACCATAAATATATTGTAATATATTATAACATACAGGGTGTTGCAAATTAATCTCGGTTCCCGCGGTGTGCAGATAGAACGGGTGAAACTGAGCAGAAAAGTCGTGTGCCATTTTGTAAAATTCGCAATATTTAGTGAGGAATTAATCGGCGAAATGGTTAATTTCTTACTGAACGTGCTATTTAATGACTCAACCGGGACAAAAACGATTCCGCATGCAGAAAATGAACCGAGCAGACGGAGTAAAATTTATCAAGAGAGGAAGAAGGCTCCATGTATTTTAAAGAGCGCGCAGGCCGCAGCCGCCTCCAGGCCGCGCGCGAATGAACTTAACGAGCTTTCGCAGAGCCCCTATTCACGGGGTTAAGAAATTTGGGGCACACTGGAGAGTGTGCAGTAAACCATGCGGTAGGCGACCTGCCGCCTACGTGCTGCAATTTCCCGGATTCGTTGACATGAACGTGCATGGACTGTGTAGACTAGCTTGGCCTCCAGACTAGAGGTGAGCGATGGCCCCTATTCAGTTCGGACCTTACGTGATCTCCCGCCTGATTGCTAAAGTTCGCGGAACTACGGGCGTGCCTTACATGAAAGTTCCAATCCCACTCGGGGCTTTGTTGGACTTTGCAAACCCGAAAGATTGCCGCGAAATGTACTACGGGACTGTGGTAATGTAAAATCACCGGGAGCTCGTGCTGTATACACAGTGTCTGATTGAAGGATCTACCGTGACGCTGGACAAACGTACTTTTCGAGGACTCGAGGGGGAATGGGTCTTAAAATTTGATCAAGCAGATCAGAATTTTTCAACGGTATGAAAACGAACTCGATATTGGGTGAGGAAAATTTCCCGAGTAACCGAGTCGAAATTTTGGCCCTACGTACGGGAAATGTTATTACGATACCCTCCGATATATACGGTGGTTACATGATAATATATTGCATAATTCTCAATGTTAATGGTAATTGCGATGTATGTTTCATTTTGTTGAAAGAGCACGGTGAGATTGCCGAACACGAGAAAATGATATCTCTGCAAGCAATAATTCGCATCGAGATTGAGATTTCGATCACAATCACAGCGAGGCAAATAGCACAATTCTACCGCGCATCTCGCAGTAATATCTCCCGCGCCACATTATTAGACGACTATTGTAATATTCGGCGCGTATGTTTTCAATGGAATTATGGAGATACTAAAAGTTACAAGTACAAGTAATAATACTTGCAGTCTATGATCTACTATTTTATATTAGTAATGTTATTTTCGTTATTAACGTAATATTTTATACTACTTCTGTACTAAAAATGAATATACGAAACTTAAGAAAGATCTGTTTCAACATAATAAAATTTAGTTTTTTTATATAATATAATAGACTATTTTAATAATTATAACAGTTCTCTAATAAAAAGTCGAACGTACTTAATATTTTTAACTAAAAATATAATAATCTTGATTATGATATCGGTATAGTCGAACTTTATTAAAATTTGGTTGTATTTATTGATACAAAATTTCTCTGTGTATATTGAACTTTTAAGTCCTATACTATTTTGCAAATAACATGCATGCAATAATTAATAACTCGACATTTTGCGTGTCATTTCTAAATTAAAGGACTTTTTTATTCATCTCAATTCATTTTATATTCTTACTAAGTTTGTCCATGTGTTAATCAGGGACATTCTGTATAATTTTATATGAAAACAAAACTTGGTTATATGAAAAAATTCTATATAGTTTCGCTGAAAATATATATTTTCGTCACTCAAGAATAATTTTCATAAATTGAGAGAGAAAAATATTGGATCGAAAGAACGATATTTTTTAACTGACATTCTTCTTGATTTGAAGTTGTCGTTCTTTCCGTCCAGTATTTCTTCCTCTCGACTCACGAAAATTATTCTTAAATAACAAGAATATATTTTTCGTATATTTTTGGAACTGTATAAAACTTTCTCATGTATATACATGCATACATAAGCAAGAATTTTCTCTTTATATAAAATTATATATTCTTTCTTATATATGAAAATATAAGTCTTAGGTTGATACTTTTTCTTCCGTGTAGAATTAAAGGTTCAAGAGGGAAGTTAATGAGTGTCAGTACGTCAAATTAAGTTTCTATTAGTCTATAAGCCATCCAGGTAAACCCAAAGTATTCTTAAGAGCGTCAACATTGCGTCAAAATTTCGAGTAAGAACGCGGATATATAAATGTAACATTTTCCTCTCTTCTCCTCCATAATTGAAAAAGGAAACCGTTGCGAGAAGTATCGCCTCAGCCAGGAATCATTGTGGTTTCTCAAATACTCACGTCGGATTAGCGATGTAATCGCTCTTGATTTTCGAGGCTTCCTTTGTTTCGCTTGTTATTTGCACACTGCGGTCTTACTGTGTGTATCGGAATTAATGCAACAATGTTGGGCGCGCTTTGAAAATTAGGCTGCACTTTAGTTCAATTCAAACTCCACACAGACACGAGCTTTACTTACACGCACACGCGTACAATCTGTCACCCATATTCACAAACTCGCATCCAATTCCGCCCCCGAGATTGCGGCAGCGCCGTCCTACTTAATGACGTATATATAGAGCAAGTAAGCGCACGTCTAATTAATACCACCGTATAATTAATTATTCATGCACTCTCTCGTGACTGTTTGTTAAAGGAATCGACGTACAGCACGACATCAACGACTCAGCCAGCAATAGTAACGAACTTCACGACGATGTCCCAACCTCCGCAGCAGCAGATCACGTCCAAGGCCGTCGAGAAGCGAGCCCAGACCTATCGGCGGGAGAGCCTAATGAAATAGGATTCACAGTTGACCTAACCCTAACCCTGTCTGATAAATACCGAGATATTGTTTGCTTCGGTCGAGAAACGACGCGAGAGTCGCGCAGGCGGAGGAAGATAGCGACGAGAAAGAGAGAGAGAGAGAGAGCGCGCGCGCTTTACAACGTTATTCCGTGTGAAGATGATCGCTTCTTTCTTCTTCTAATATGGGGTTACTCGATATCTTCTTCTTATACCGTCTGATCGAGCTATCTCGAGGAATATACGCGGGACGCACATCGAGTCGGTGGGAAAATTCGCGTAGCGACTTGAGGCAAAATTCGCCTCTTACTTGGGAGGAGATTGAAGAGATACAAATTTAACCGTCGCCCGCCATATTTCAGGCAACTCACGCGGATTTTATCGCGAGGTACAAATTCCCTCGTGAGCTCTTCTCTGTGTATGTGCAAACGCCCAGAGATATCAATACAAGTGAAATTAAAAGGAGATCGAAGAGCAGCAGAGCCCGACGTTTCGCTTCACTTGCGCGCCACGCGTTAAAATCTTTTCCACCGATCTCTAATGGACTAAGGAATGTTTTATTTGTGTCTTAGCTTTTTAAGCGCCCCGAGCTCTATCTTTCTCTCTCTCTCTCTCTCTCTCTCTATCTCACTTAATCTCTCTATCTCGATTTCTCTCTCAAACGATGCGCGATGCTGATGCGTATGCGAATGATTTATCGTGACCTCCTCGGTGCACACGCACAGAAGAATTTTACTTTAAATAGTTTAATAGGAATTAAGTGTGCGTGTACGTTGCGCACGTACACCAAAGCTCACGTCACGTCGCATAATCGCGTAATGCGAAAGATTCTTTTGTCCCGTTGTCCGCAACAACGTACGCGCAGTCGGTGAATTCTGTGCTATTTGAAATGCGCATAGCTATTGTTCTCGGTCGTGTGGCCTGATCCTAGGACACAATAGGAGGGTTAAGGGAATTTACTTAGCAAATTCGATTGCACACACGCTCCATTATCCCCGCGCGACCCGACGTCGGATGAATTGGTTTTCCCTTCCGCCGGGAGTATCATAAGTTTTGTTTCTTCTAGCTGCATTTATTTATACTTTTTGCGCGTGAAATAAAACGAGCGCAACGTACCGCCTCGAGAGGGAGGACGGGGAAGAGAAGAGAATAGAAGAGGGGAGAAGAGAGAGCGTGTGTGTGTGTGTGTGTGTAGTTAAAAGGAACAGACCTATGGTAACATCGCCGCATCTTTCGACGATAGAAATAATAGCGATTATCGAATATCATTGATAGATAATGATTATTCGTTCAATGGTTCTTTCGTTTAATAATAATTGCTAGATAATTATGAGATTGGTTCTCTCGTGAAAAGCAACAGATGTGATGTCACAGTATAATCACCGATCGATTGACTTAATAGATAAGTTGGTGTGTTACTACGTATGTTATTCAATTGCACAATAATTAAGATTATTATAATTAACTGTTCTAGTCCTGTCAAAACTAGTCATCATAATCTTTAGTCAGACCAAACTCTGAAACACAAAGAGCTATATAGGGGAGGAACAGAGCGGAAAAAATACGTTTAATGCATTCTTTAATAAATGTTTGGGATATGAAGAACCTTTACGTACCAGGATGCGTAAAAATATCGCGAAGGCAAAATGGATAAATGTGTCTAACGAATTGCTTAATAAACGTAACATCGTGCGACCATTATGATATAAATACGGCATTATTGTGTTAAATGACGGGAACTATAAACAATTTTTGTAACCTGGAAATAGTTCACAAAGAAGGGCAATTTTGGATTTCGGAAACTGGTGCAGAGAACACGAAGACATTGCATAATCGAAATCGATAAGTGTCCAATTGGCCGTCTACACGCGCGCGTAACATTACACGATAATTATTACGTAGATTGTGTAATCACTACCACACACGTTCACCACGTCCAAGAGCAATAGTGGCTAGGGCCTACGAAGGTTCCGAAACGGCCTTGAAGGTTAACCCTCGTCTTTTCAAGCCTCCATTCCGATAATCCGAGTTCCCCACAGTTCACTGTGTATATCCGTGCAACTGCAGACGTGCAAAACTCGATGAATTACGACCTCACTTATTATTTAATGTGCAGCACACCGTTGTCGTATAAAGGTCTGTGAAATATAGCCACTAGAGAAAATGGTTCTGTTGTAAATTAATGTCATCCTTGTATATATATAACGTGTTCGTGAAATAGGATTTAAACAGTGTTAGAGTTTATTGTTTTACGAACGGATTACGGCTTTTTCGTAGCATCCATTTGAGTTAGTCGGGAAATATTTACCGCGATACCTCCTTCAGGGAACAATATTTACAATGATTACAGAAAACAAACTTTCCTCTTCACTTTATGTCAGACTAAGCTATAAATATCTATAAACGATAAGTCCGATTACTTTTCTCATTGAAGTCGCTTCAATAAAAATTCAGTATACCGATAAAATGTATTTAAACTTTCCAATTACTGTGTAGAAAATTGATGATTATTTAAAGTGTCCGATTATTGATGTCGATAAATGAAAATAATCGAAGTCTTAAATGTACATTTTAAGGACGTATTTTTCTCTTAACTTACTTGAAAAGTTTCGCTAAGGAAAGATCGGATTGCAACTTTGTTGGAGAAGAAGAAGTTTGGTCCACGATACTTATTTGTCGGAAGAAATATGTGTAGAGTCATTCACAAAGTAGAGATACCATCTAAAAATGTAATAACGATAAGTGATTCTAGTATTTATTCGGATACTTGTACCTTCATAATAATTATTCATAAATTGACAAAAAGGATGTAAAATTCAGTACAAGGTGTCCCCCTCCCAGGCTAAATTTTATATAATGGCAATTTCGCAACTATGTTATTTTTAGGCGAGTTTAGTTAAACGCTATCTCCCTTCACGACTGTCCATTTTTAAACACAACCGCGTCTCAGAATGAAATTTTCTAAAAATAAAGTCTACCTTTACCTGACGTCTGACGTAATTTTAAAACGAGCTCGTATATTCATGTACTCTGCCATAAAATATGAACACGAAGGTATATTTTAAAGACTAGCGCTCGCGGGGTGATCGGCCTAGTACAGGGATTCCCAAAGTGTGGGGTCGCGAAACATTTTAGAATATTAAATTACACTTTATCACTTTGCGTAGTTTTACAAATTAAAACCGGGTATAGACTTGTTGCATATCCCTGATGTAACGTATCGACGTACATTACGTACATTACGTACGTAACAATAAGGTGGGGGTGCGCGTTGCAAGGTCGCGTATCAAAAATTAATTACATGGATATGCAACGGGCCTGTTCGATATGATAAATAATCAATTTACTTCCTTCCTTCTCGCGCCCCGCTTTTTTCCATCCGCTAAAGATAAGTGGATCGTTGAAGTTTGCTATTCTAAAAAACGGGTCGCGGTTTACACAGGTTTGGGCAGCCCTGGACTAGGACGTATCTATTATCCAGGGGACTACAATATTCGGCGCTGGGGGTAAACGAGCATGAGTCGTTATTTATCCAATATGAAATTCCTCGTGAAGTATTCGCATTCATGACTTCGTGTTGATACTTTTATATACAAAGTAGCGAGGAGAAGATCGACTTATGTAAAAAAAGAAAATATATCACAGTTCATTGAAAAAAAATAGTCTCCTTGGAGAAGCCGACAGCGGTAGCCTATTCGTCTCATAATAATAGACTTCAACAAATCCTGAAGTAGACCTTTATCACTGTATTTAATAATACATTGAAAAAAAAAGGAAACAGTTTAGAAAGTTTTACATGGCTCATCCTGTAGGCCGAGTTCGGATATTTCAAGTTATCGCTAGATACGCGTTCAGCAGACGATACAGCAAGTGATGACGGTGATTAACGGATAATTGGCGAATTTAAGGAATTAACAGCGGTTGTATCTAATCAGTGCTAGTATTCAATGCTCGGCGCAAATACTTCCAGAACCGGCGAGTGTTTGTTTCGCTGAACGCGGTATTTATGACAAAGCCGATCATGAGTTTTTTAACGACCTTTAGAACGTAGGTCTCCTAACCGAACTTTCTAATATATGATTATATCATAAATAGAAACGAACGTTTCTACGATGTGACGCCGTGATCTCTCGAGGACGGACGTTCCACCATTGTCGCAGATTTACAAAAACGTCACAGCCACGAACGTTTTTATTCGTAATGTCGCAATCTTGCAGCAAGGCATTTCTGCAACGTCCTATAATCATTGCATTACAACGAGCTGTCCTCCTGTAATATTCCCTCGAAATCGTACAATAACGCAAACATATCGATTCCCACTCGTGTCGAAAGCATTATTAAACGCGACCGCAAACTATCTCGCAAGGATGTCTCAATGGTACATTAATATTTTTAGGTGTCGCAACAAGTGCATGTATGAAAATAAATTAAGTATTTATTTTAAAATTTACAGTGTTAATTATAATATTTGCAATTATAATTAATATTGTGAATATACGAGAGATCATTGTTATTATTATACTTCTTATTGTATTACATGTATAAATTCTATGAGAAGTCCTTTGTGTCACGTGTGGGGATACACAGTGTGCAGCGAAGATCGGTGGTACAAGCGGGAACAGGGTGATTCCTTGTACAAAAGTTAGTTATTAATGAATTATCCGATGACGCACAATAAATCCTTCTGTTTCACGAGAGGCATCGTTTACGGGAAAGTCCACTTTGAAACTTGGAAAATTAACAGTGACCTTTCGCGCAATTCTTAAGTTCAAACGATCTCCGACTGATCCTGTATCGTTGAATTTATCTCAACAGCGGATCTGTATCGCACGACGAGGATATCTCTCCTTTCCATGTCCATGTAGCGAAAAACTCGTCTATTAATTCGAGTTTCCTATTTAGCCGCGTTATCTCGGAAGCAAAACAAAATAATCCGTCACAATGGCAGCTTCGTCATCGAACTCTATCAGAAGCCGTTATCTATTTTATCGAACACTTACACACAACTGCGTCATATAGCATCTAACATTGACGATATCTCGAAAAGGGATTTGCACCACGGAAGCATGCCGATGAAAGCTTTTCCTATGCGATCCAATTAATATCAAGCCGCGAAGTAGTCTTCAACGAGAATGTCACATATAACTGACCACACGACGTCTAAATACGTACATATATGTATACACACACATATATATGACGTACACACATTGTAATATAAATTTTCACAAATTGCAATATTCCACAATATTCTCGCAGACTCCATGTAAGAGTGATTTGCGTAACAATTATTATTCTTGCGTATTGTTTGAACGGCCAATTAACGCTAGACGCGATAAATAACATAATTAATTGGATATAGCTGCCTAGTATATTAATTATATATAATTAACTGCGTTATATATTTTTATATACAGAACGAGGCAGCTAAGCAGTAACATATGTAGCTCGTAACTACACCGCTTTCGGATACGTAACAGTACTCTTCGAGAGAGAGTAGGAATCCGAAGAGCAGCAGATATATATATATATATATATATATAAAATATATCGCAAAAAGGGAAAGATAATATTCCCTAAAAAGCCACTCTCTTCGAGGTACTGAGGTCACTCCTTTTCCTTTTTAAACGGCAATCGCACACTATTATTCGCCACACGTCCTTGTAGCGCATAGAGAGACGAATCGAATGACACGACATAATGTATCACTATCCGAGATCTCATGAATAAAAGCTGTTTAAGTAAAGACCAACGAGTCTGTGTTACTTACAACGCACCAATGTCGTCTCGAGCCGACCGAGCCTCTTCTCGTTTCATCCGGAGGTGACGCGATCATTTCACCGCGTCGCCGAGGGTCGTAGGGCGCGGTCCAAGCTAAGCTGGAAGCTCAAGTGTCGCTTTCTCCCCCAACTCGCGACAAGGCCGGACCAGCCGAAGGGACCCGCATTTTTTCATGCCACTACAGCTGGGGGCATTTTTATTTTCGTATTCAGCTCCCTCTCGAATAACCCATTGATCGCCGACCAACGCGACGCACCCCGGTATTCATAGTCAGATATTACATTCGACCGTCCTCTAACGATCTGTATAGCACCTGAACTCAAAACGGTCTTAAATATAACATCCGACTGTGAATAGAAGTTGCATTGTAGTGGCGCGTCGATTGTTATCAAACCTGGAGACCCGTGGACACGATATACGGGCCTAATCTCCGGGAATCTTCGGGAGCTCGACGTCGCGAGCTCGCGAATCCCTCGAAGGGATCGTCGCGAAGTGGCTCGTCGGCCGAGTCCTGCGGGATTTTATTTCCCAGCAGGCTGGATCCTATTGAGCACCGCCATCAGGAGGGAATCGAATCGAGCGGTCGAGGGTGGGAAGGAAAAGGCGCCGTTACGTCGCCAGGTCAATGCGGGAGAGCTTCCCGTGGAGCCGTCCTCTCTCCTTCGCGGAGAACCCTGGGCGGGAATTGACCTGGACTCAGGATCGAATTACGTTGGAGACTCCCGGATCGGGAAAACACCGGCCAGGCGAAGCAGTTCGTTTTATTCCCGCGTAAGGAAAACGCCCGACGGAACGCGGACGCGGCTAGAGCCAATAAGGCTCATGTGTGTGAATGGACCAATTAGGATAAAGGAACCAGCAGCAGAGAACACGCAAGGGTTCCCTGCTGGCGGTGCTATTCACTGTCTGACGGTCGCGCAAACAGGAAGGACCGCATCGCCCGGTAGAAACCGAGTAAATCGAAGGCGACGGCGCGCAGGATACACACGTGATATACCGTAAGTCCTTTGGATTTTCTTCCAGGATATCAAGTGAACGTTATCCTAGCAATTTCGCCACCTTGAGTATCTTCCAAGTGCGCGAGAGTAGCAGCAAAATTTGCCCAACAGAAATTCCATTAATATCACATTCTGATAGATGTAGTTATTTATATGTTGTAGTTATTATAATTATTAGTAAGAGTTTTATAGTTACTTCGGCCTCAACTATATCCTTTTTTTGGTTTCAATCATAATTAATAGAGATATATATGTTAGATTATTTATCACCGACACTACGAAAAGGAAAAGGTTTCTTTGGATATACTTGTTTATTTGACTTTAGTTTGTTTAATGTAAACAATATAATATATATAATATAATATTTTGCTTGAATGAAAATATTGTTGTTATTAAACTATATTCTTTAATAAAAAAAGAACAGTATTATTTAGAAGAAATAATATTTAGTTTTCAATAAAAATTAATTTTATTATATATTAAATATTTTGTTCCACTGTGAAGAAAAGAAATTCTTTAACCTGTTAACCGGGGAATTCCTTTTTTAATTACGCAACATACAACGGGTGCGTACTCTTTCAACACATATTTCAAGGACGTATTCATATGTCCTACCCGTACCCAATATTGTTTACGTTCGACGTATTTATACGTCCCGATCGGTTAACAGGTTAATATCTTTCTAACATAATGTTATTTCTTTTAAATAATTTATTGTTTGTGACAACCATTTTAATGTTTGGATGAAAATATAAAAGAAATACGTTACTTGACTTAAAGATATTTATTGCTTGAGAAACCAAACAATCCTGTTTGTTGAATCAAACATTTATTTGTTCGTTCCATTTCAAAAAGAAACATTTTTCTCAATCAGAAAAATTTTATTAAGAAAACTTTTCCTCTGTATATAGCGATATTTACTTGAAAAATATTTTTCTAATGATATGTAGCTCATAGTTACGGTGTTATAATAGCAAATAGCAAATATTTTCCTATCAGTGCGATGGTAATCACTCCAAATACCTTTTGTAGACGTAAGCTTCATCTTCTCATCCCGTCGTTAATAAAATATTTGTATTCTTCGAAGATGTTCAAGATGGCGGAAGTTATCGTCTCACTTTATATTAATTTTCGCGCTGAGCTTTCGTCATCACCTCGGTGAGCCTGCGGGACCGATCGAAATTAGCGAATTACAATCGCGGACTCTGCATTGGTATCATTGCTCGATATTCGACTGGCAAGTCGTCGCCGAGAAGTCCGTGGCGTTCTTGGAACCTTTCTTTCGAGATTCGACGATTCCTTCGCGATACGTGCGAATCACGGTGCTCTATTGTAATTGCACACCGGAGTCGTGAGGTTCGGCGTTTCGCGATTCGACGCGAGCGAGGAGTTCTCGGATGATAGGCTGGAGCATCTCGAGAGAGAAAGACTTTCCGCACGGATTCAACTTATCGGCGAATTGCTTGTACAATGGGGAACTTGAGGCATCTCGCTCTAATTGGAGATCCCATCGTGGAAATATTGATTTTACGTAGGAAGTTCGAGCGAGACGTCGGCTGCAGCAGAGAGCGTTGTATTACGTCCGGTGGAAGTTTTTTCTAGCTGTCGGGAGCCCCGTCAAGTCGCGCTACCGCAAACATAAACACCGGCTCTCTCGCACAGTCGAGATTTCGCCCGTCAACCGTAATATCCTAACGATGTTTTGAACTTGAACGAACGACGCGTTATAATTTTGCCCCCGAGGCACTCAGCCCGCGCATCTATCGACTAATCTCGAGCGACACCCGAAGCGACAATAATATTTCCAGTCGCGAATCGCGCACGTACATCCTTTTTTTCCTTCGGCTCACTTTTTCTTATTCCCCGCTGCGAGCTCCTTTCCAACCTTATATTTATTTCATGATAAACAACGCTCTCTATATTCAGCATCGTTTGACCATCGGAGGAGAACCACCCTCTCTATTATTTAATGTAGATGCTGTGCCCCAGACAGCTGCCGGACAGCTGCCGGACAGCTGCCGTCTCGCATATCGCTTCGCCTTAGCTTTTCGTTAGAAAAATTGGTGTGGCTCGGTTTTCTTCCCCCCGACGCCCGGTGCCAATATGACGACAATATGGCGTGTTGAATTTTGGGCCGGCGATCTCCACGCTAATTGCCGGCGAGAAAATGGGAGAAGGAGATCGATGAGTTAGCAATAGCCGATAAAGTCAGCCGAGTCCAATTTAAATGAATGAACTCGAGGCTTTATTAACCGGTAGCGAAGGTTAACGCAGTCGTTTATTCATTTAAAATGAATCTCCCAATTAGTGACAATGTAAATTCGTGGAAATAACTCATCGTGAAAATAAATCAATAAATTTGTAATATACGTGTTAAGTTAAATACATAACATTTATTGCGTTCGGAGGTTGGAACATTTGCAGTCCTGACTGTATTATATATTTTTTACTTTATGATAAGATTTAAATTGATTAAGATGTCGACAAAAATCTAAAGTAAAAATACGTTTTTTCAAATAAATATAGAGATGCGTTATCTGATTTATTAAGGAAAATAGATGAGATTTTTATAAATTGAGACGCTGTAACAAATTGAGACATTCACTTTATACGTTCATTAAATTAATGTAAAATCTTATATTTTCCATTAAAGCTATTTTCGTGTGTAACATCGTGTACTACAATCACAGTTTTAGTCATGCTCGCTTTCTAGTTCCTTTAATCCGAGCTGACATAATGGCAATTCTAAGTTAAATTTTAAAGAGAAGGAATATGACTGGCATCGGAGTGAATTATTCGCTGTTAAAGCCCCCGTAGCAATAACGTAATAAATGAAGTGTACTTAATTCCAGTCGATAGCATCCTGCAATCCGTTGCATCTGATAATCCGTAATTAATCGTTAACCCGCTATTAGAGGTCGAAAGTACGAGCGTACGGCTTATCGTATTCACATTAATGTGAAATAAATCGGGGCGGAAATCACTCGTGTGTTCTGTATACGACAGCTTGTGCTGAATCCGTTTGATCGCCCCAGTCATCGCCGACCAAAGGAAAAATGACGTTCACGAAGCTCTTGATGACTCTGGTGTTGCTCACCACTATCGATTTTCACGAGACTCACGGATACGGAAAGATGATCTACCCTTTGAGTAGAAACAGCGTCTCGAGGAAGAACTTCCCGACAGATAGCAACTTAAAGGATGGCGATACCAATTGCGGCGGGCCAATCGTACGTACACACGTCGAGTATTTTCTTTTTTCTTCGGCATAAAAGTATCGAGATGTCGATCATTTCGGAATTGCGAGTGAGCGAGAAGAGTTTTCTTCAAGGGTGCAGGAAATAACTGCGGAAAGATCCATTAAATTAAGAACCGCGAATGTGGTTCATAAGAATCAATAATAATAATAATAATTCCAATTTCTACATTGTTCCGTCACATCAAAATTTTGAGAAATTTGCAATTAAATTTGTAATAAATGGTTCACATATTTTGTCATGTTATAACTATGATATGTGACATACTGGAGATTTTATTACAATCAAAATTAAATGTGTTGTTAGGACTTTTTTCAGTCCTCAAAAGGAATTTTTTTGTTTCAGCTGTGGTTAATAAGATATTTACGGTTAAATATTGTTAATTTTAATGTGAAAAATTCCTTTGTTAAAATTCAAACATGATTTAACGTTTATCTTCCACTTTGAATTTGTCAATTTTGATATCGAATTCGTATTCAGTGATCTATCTATAAAAAACTTCTATGTTTAAATAAACACAGTTGAAAACTATTTGATAAATCGTCAATGATCTAAGTCGCAGCTTTTCCGCAATAGGGTCCTTAATTCTATCTTTAACCATGAATATTTTATTAACCATAGCTGACGCAAAGTTTCCTTTTGAAGGCTGAAAGTTGTCAACCGGATAGTCAAATGACGCCGGAGGATGGCATATTGACGGCAATATAACGTCTATGCCGTCAATATTTCGTCCTCCGGTGTTGTTTAGCTGGAAACATAATTTAATTTTAATTTCTGGGAACATAATTTAATTTTAATTTCAATCAAATTAAGTTTTCAATATAACTTCTCCAGCACGTTAATATCGTAGTTAGAATATAATAAACTATATGAAAATACATGAAAATAGTCCTTTCTTGCAGCTCCAATAGCAACTTAGACAGTACAATGTCCAAAATCGGGACGTAAGGCGTCTTTTGAACGTTTAAAAACACCTTAAAGACATATCACGACGTCTTAAACACGACTTCAAGACGTCTAAAAAATGTCTCATGTCCCGATTTTGGACATTTGCTGTCTGGGAAATTTCCCAAAATTGTGACATGATGAAGCAATTTGGAAACCGAATTCGTACTCAGCGTCTGAAAAACTGTAGGAAATGACTAGTCTCGTCCTAGTGTTCGAAAAAAGTCGTTTTTTGTTCAATTGTGCAATCAAATTCTGTTTTCTTCACAAAACCAACACGCGTTTAATTCGTTCATTATTACGTTAACTCAACCGATGTTATTTCTCTAAGCGAAGTAAAACTTCATTTCTCATTTATTTCGCGCGTCTTCAATCGTCAATCTTCTTTCTCCGACGAAGGGGGCGATTAATTGATCTCATTCTTAGCGTGGAGAATAACAGTGCCGCTGAAAACGACGTTCGTTTTCTTTTTCAGGTACAACGCAACAATAACAACAAGTGCGGGGAATGTGGCGATGATTACTCCTTAAATCGACCACGACCAAACGAGAACGGCGGCACCTACGGAAAAGGAATGATCATTCGTGTGTGAGTAAATCGTATTTTCTCGAGCAAACGAAGAGGATAAGATCCGCATAACGCCGACGATATCGTACGAGTGCGGTTATTCACGAGATTGTCATCCCTCGCAGGTACAGGAAAAACTCCGTCATCAACGTGACTGTTCAACTCTCAGGCAACAACGAAGGTCAGTTCAAATTCGACATCTGTGCACTGACCACGAAAGACCAACTAGAAACCGACGAATGCTTCCATCGTAATCGCCTGCCGCTGGCTGACGGTAGTGGCTACATCTTCAACGTTACCAGTTCGCAAACGAAGCTGAGGGAAATCGCTGTTAGTCTTCAACTGCCGCACAGGCTCATATGTAGACATTGCGTCTTGAGGTTGGGACTGATAACTTTGAATATTCTGATTTTTATGTTCCGCTCGACACGTTAACTTTATCAATTTCGAGTTTCGTGATTTTAATGTAACCTTATTAGAGACGTATTTCTCAACATAATATAAACATAATGATGTGTTCATGACGTCTGAGATATCATTAAGGACTTCATTTCAATCAAGGTTTTTCATTTTCTGGTTAATTTCTGGTTGAGCTTAAACTGATGATAATGTAAAAATTGTATTTTTCCTACCCATGACTAATCATTAAACTTTAAAAGTTACCATTACAAAACCATCAATTTAATGATTAACTATGAATAGAAAAACACAACTTTTATATTATCATTAGGTTAAGCCTAAACCGTAAGTTTATTAAAAAATGAAAAACCAAGTCTAACAATCATTACATATGTTTGCTGGGTCAGCTTTAAGAGTAACACCCGCGATTTTGACGCTGAAATAACATCACAAGTCTCTCAGGCCTACATCATAAAAATATTGTAAATCGTAGATTTTTGCATTTTTTTTAGTCTTTTATAAATTATTAAGCTTACCTAGATATGTTGTCCCCAGCCAGAAATGAAAAGTCTAATCGGTGTCGAATATTGGTCAATATTTTTGTTATTTTCGATCCTATAAGAAACATTGTTTTTATATCAATTGAACAATTAAAAAAAATTCTATAAAGTTCTAAGTCATAAAGAAGCTGAAAAAAGTTCTAATCAGTTGTAACAGCAAATGCAAGAATATGACTGAGATAGGTAAGAATCACAATATAGATAATCGTTGATGTCATCATTTTAAGTTGTCATTATATTAATTTCTATTCCATAGGATTGTTTTTACATTATTTCATTTGCAAAATTATCAAAATTATGCCATTAGTGTTTTTTGAAAGATGTAAAAATAATTCGTAAAAATATAAGAATAATTACAAGCATAATCTCGCAAGATATCGCCAGGATATCAAAAGTTCATGCTTGATTATGGAAGTAAAGCAACCTTGACCATAGTTAAGAAAAGGATGGGTGACTATTACCTATGATAGAATCGAACTACAGAGGAACTTATTATGAGATGACAAGATGCAAAAGATAAAGTGACAATCTTTTTTTATTTAAACAAAATAACATTAGTTTATTTTATTTCGTTTATATCATTGTAATTCTGTTACAAATAATATTTTATAATTACAGTAGCCAATATCGATGACTAGTAAAAATTTTAAGTCCATATTTGGGCTGAATCAGTTGCAAATTTCGACCGTCGATTGCCACTACAATCGACATTGATTTGACTTTTTATTTCTGGCTAGGTCTGTGTTATTACCAATTTTTATTTATTGTTTTTGTAGACTCGTTGCCGTCAGAAAACCAATTATTTCATTGAATCAAACTGATGATAGTATTGGTCACACGGACCCAACTATTTTTTTTAATAATAGAGGAATAGGAATAGGGTATAGCGTTTTGTACAAAACATGAAAAAGGAGGCAAGCGAAAAAAAAGCGCGGATATGCCTCGTAGGCTTAACATGTTACTGTCAGGAACAGTAAAAATAAGGGAAGTAAAAATAGAAGGTCGTCAGATCGAATTTTTATTGAGAAAAAAATAGATTAAAAATTTCACACATACACATATATAGAGAAAGATTTATAAATAGAATATTTATACGCATGAAACTACTTTGTGCACGGTTCTTTGATACATTGTAACATGTCCTGCAGCGTAACGTGATTAAGGTCAAAATTTACCCCTCGTTAGTCGCAATATTTTTCACACCGAATAAATACTCGCAATCTCATAACTAGTTTCTCTATTATTTTCTTCCGTTTCTTGGAACCATTTTTCTTTCATTACCACTTAGTAGAACTTAATAGAACTTAATAGAACTAGGCTAATAGAACAGGCACAAAAGTACATAAAAAACAGTGAAAAACTGAGGACAAAAAAAAAACATTGACAAAACGAGTTCGATCTTGAAGTCATATAGCAACGGCGATACGTGTAGCCTAAACATATATATCTATTGGATATTGCGAGTAACGGGGGGTTAAACATACAACGGAAACCAATTTGGAATATCGTTGTTGGATACGATGTGACAACCTGCAATGTTATTTTAATCGTAATTTTTTAAATTCAAATACAGGTGGCAGTTTCGTGGCACAGAAAATCTCGAGCAAGACTTGCCCACAATGTCCAATCAGTCAGTTACTTGGGAGTGGAGAAATTGCGCTGATATCGCTATTTTAAGAGGTGGGTCCTTGTCGCCACCGGTCGTCAGAAGAGACGTACTGAAATTTATTTGTGAAAATTACTGGAACAGTGAAAGTAATGAGCCATCGGATGAAAAAATCTGACCAACTTGAAGATTGACAGAAAAATATGTCGATTGATCTGACGGGAAGCGGATGGGGGAACACAGAGGAAATTAGATTTGAGCGTTTTCCAACACGACGACAATGATGGATTGGATTCAAGCGATGAAATTTGCGCGAATTTAGAAAGTCGACTCATTTAGAATATTATTCTTCAGAAAAGTTATATTATTCTTTAGAACGTTATCATATTTCTTAAAAGAAGGAAAATGCTGAATTGTCCTATTTTATTGGAAAATACATTATTTGTTTATTTTCACTTATATATAAGTTAAAATAATTCATAATAATAATAAAATCATTGCTAGATACTTACAACAGAAAATAAAAGAAATAATAATGTAAAAATAAGAAAACATAAGAAAATAAGAAAAAAAAAATAATGTCAGCTGAATTTTTTTTGTTTTTCTAAACGTCTTTTTTTGTATGGAATCCTGAACACGAAACAGTCGGAATTTTCTTATAATAGACCTATTTATCTTTTTATTATTTTACATAAATTTAATCTGCGACGAAAAGATTATTTATGCTAAAAAACACACGCATTATATATGTAATATTTTGCGTAATTAATTTTTAACATTTTAAGTTAATTTAATTTTATCTTAATTATTAATTCAGTTGTGGTTAAGACAATACACTTTTAATTTAACTAAGTTAATTTACAGGCCTTTAATTGTTTACTTAATTAAAAGTAAAAATCAACTTATCTTGATATTAAGTAATATTAATGTACAAATAACTGGAAAACAAGCGGACCAAATAAAAATATCGATAGCACGAATTGATAGAAAGATAAACGAATCTGATAAACGGATTTCCGGATAATCCATGTGAGCATTTCGCATCATTGCTTTCCAAGGAATTTCAATCGTACAATTTTCGAGGTGCAAGTGAAGATTTTCCGAAATAGACAATTGCCAGAAACGATAGACAATAACTTTGACACACGACTTGTCGTTACTTGGTATTGCAACACCGCATCGCGTTATTTGCCGATTTTGAAATAGTCCCCACTGCAAAGGTAATTAATTAATTAATATCATTGTATTAAACACAATTGAAAACGTCTGATCTGTGACACTTCAGATGCCAATTGTATTCTTCGAATGTTTATGCGCACCGTTAAAAATAAGAAATGATATATCGCACGTTAAACACAGCTGTCGCGCTGTTTGCACACGAATGCGCGTGTTTTTTATGCAGTTTTGACATTGTTGAAGTTCAAACTTGTGCTTCGCGTCAGCGGTGGATTAACGAATTGCTATGCGAGGTATCCCGGAACTGATGAAAAGCCCATACATGACGTTATTCCGCGTAAAATTTGAAATCCTCCCGTCTGTTTTTCCTTTCTTTTTTTTCGAAATCCAACTGCAAACTCCGTTATGGGAGATAATTGCAGCATTTCCAATTACAGAACCGACAATTAGAAGAATGCCGGCTACATATATAATATACGTGTTTCTCTTTCGTGAAAACGAAATATTTTAATGAATATCGCGCATTGTTCCACGAGTGGTGCGTGCACGCACACGATGCTATTTCAACTTGGGCGCGACGAAAAATAACTTGATTGGATTACGTCCGGTGCATGGATCGATACAATAAGGCAAATATCGTTACAATGTGAATTAATTCACACGTGAGCGGAATTTGACCGCGCTGACATCTGCTCCCGCAAAAGTTCGCAACTCGTGTTTGCACGAGCCGCCGAACATTGTTGCTATCATTCTAAATAAATATTCGTCACATCAGGCGCGTTTTTTATTGGTTCTACTTTTCGTTGCACATTATGCCCGCGTATTAATACGCGCGCGACGACTATATATATCGTACGTATGTGTGCGTGTATTTGTCTGTGTGCTTGTATGTGTCCTGTATTTTTCTTGGCTTGACGTAATCCGTCACGTCTGATAAGACAATTGATAAGTTGATTGTTAACTCGTTATGAAACTGGCTCTTATCGGGAATTGAGCGACTATATAAAGTAAATGCGGGTGACATTTTCACGTAGCAATTATCACCATCGAAGACGAGACGGCAAGAAGTGAAATGGCGTTCGCAAAAGTATTGGCCCTGGCGCTGGTGGCCGCCATTAATTTGCAGGAGATTTACGGCCATGGAATGATGATGGATCCTGTAAACAGGAGCAGCGCCTGGAGGAAGGGCTTCCCGGTGGAACGGAACTACAATGACAACGAGCACTTCTGCGGCGGACGCGGCGTACGTATATAAAAAGCGGGTTCCACCTAACGCTCGCAACGACGCGTGTGTCATTCTATCTATTCTTGATTTAACATGAACCGTAAGAAACAAAGATGGAATAACGTTGCGAGTAAGTTGTAAGTGAAACCTGCCTGAAGTAACTCGGAAATAAGTCGGCGAACTCTCGAAGGCGCGCCCTTTGATTGACCTAAGGCCCGGGTATTAGCTAAATCGTTGCCTCGGCGGAATCCTACGGCTTTGCCCGAGACAGAATCCGAATTAGAAATTTCTCTCGCTGAACCTCCGCCGCGCGGAAACCATAAAGGTCTCGCACAAAGAGGTCGATCGATCAGATTTTCGGAGAATGCGTTTGTCAAGTCTCTCGATTCAACGTGAAATAACCCTGTACGATATTGCCGGTGCGATACCGGTGTATCGAACTGCGCGAGATAAAGCTCGTAATCGCGAACATCCAGGAGATTTATATTTCAAACGTTTAGATTAATATTTCTTTTTTAATGAAAATTATGCAAATTACATTTTTTCCTCGAGGACAGAATATATCGAGATACTGAAACAGTCTGTAACACGGAAACAAAGTATCATGAATATTTATGTGGATGTATACATGAATTTGTTAAAATTATTATGTGAACAATTTTTTAAATTTCGTATTATGTAAAATATATACGCTAGTATGCGCACGTTTGTATGAGAGCTAGTTCTCGAGTTGCAGTTCGTTTCATCAAATAATTACGCGTATCGAAAACTATATTACGCGTTTGAAAGGTCGGAAAAAGATTTACTACTCAAGTTACAAAGTTGCACTGTACTGAGACAAAAGTACCAATGCCTGGTACCTAATTGTGGATACTCCTATTGTTTTGATCTTTAAATATAAATGTTTAATTATTAAACTTAAAAAAAAAAAATATATATATATATTGAATGTATGTACATATATTCTGTGTTAAAAGTTTAAATATTTGCATTTAAATACCAAAACAACAAGAATGTCTAGAGTTAAATACGTGGTATTTTTATATTTCTTCTTTCGATAAATCGCTTCAATTTATATCTTAACTCCCTTAAAGTAGGCAACCATACAAACAGCAGAGTATAATAAGATGCGCCGCATGGGACGCAATCCCGACTACCCAGGTACCCGAGTCCTTCAATAATTGAGTATGCGGCTAATTTCAGACGTGTTTACTACCTGTTATTGTTAGAATAATCAATAATTTGTTACATCTGAAATTATCTGTGCACTCAGTTACTGAAAAGATTCGGGTATTCGGGTAGTCGAAATTGACAGCACTAGTATATAGTTTCTTCCCTGGCAAAAAAGAAAATATATTGACGCGCAAGTTGAACTTTAAAAGTGCAAATCGTCAAAACACTTATTCCTTAGCAGACTTTATTTTAAAACAATATCGCAAATTATAGCAGAGTTTATTGAAACATTTGATACTAACGCTTCGAAAAACGTGAAGAAGACAATTGTTGAAATTGGATGGGAATATTTTTCACCAGACGCAACACATCAAAAACGGTGGCAAATGCGGAGAATGTGGTGACGATTGGTCCCTACCTCGACCACGATCGAATGAAAATGGAGGCCGCTATGGAACGGGTATTATCGTTCAAAAGTGAGTAAACGTATCATAATCAGACACGCCTGGGATAGAAAGTATTTGACATTTTGAACGAAGAGAGAAACAATGGAAACGTTATTCATTTCCATGTAGAAAAAAAGATTTCTTTAGATTTAGTATTTCTATTTATTTGACTAAAATTTATTTCATAGGAACAACATATACGAAATATTATTTGTCTGAGTAAACATTTTATTGTCTCGTTCATGAAAACTCTGTTATTTAACAGAATGAACGCTATTATTTGAAATAATATCTTTTAACCAAATAAAGTATTATTTGGTTACAATAAATATGTAGCCATATATGAAACCAATAATTTCTTTTAATAAAATGAAACAAATAATTTCTTTATGAGAAAATTATCTTTCGTTTCAAGCAAATTTTTTATTTAAGATGTAGATACATATTCGTTGAATGTCTAACAATCGTACTTATTAATCGAAACATTAATTTCTTTGGAGCATGCCAATGATGGAATTTGTTTGGATGTAATAAAATTTATTAAATTTGAAGAAATCTTTTTCTAGATGCATTTAATTCATTCAGAAATTTATTCGTGAATAAATTTCACTGAAACTGACAATTAGCATTGCCAGCTAAATAAATATATCGAGTGAGTACCTTAGCAAGAAATATATGGATAGATAGAAAGAGAAAGATGGATACATAAAGAGAGAAAGAGAGAGAGAGAATTTATTTTAAACATTAGTGATAGTAGTTTGAGCCTGTTCCATTTGTGGAATCGTTTAAAAAATACTACTGTAAAATACTACTCTAAGAGCAACTTATTTTGTCATTTTGGGTGGTTCACTTTGTTATCGTGTCTTGATTATCGCAGTTAATTGTAAAAATGTAATTTTTTTCGCAGGTACGAAGCAGGTGAAACCGTCACTTTTACTGTTCGTCTCGCGGCCAACCACATGGGCTACTTCGAATTCAATATCTGCCCACTGAAGCACAACAAAGAACTGGAAACCGACGAGTGCTTCGAGAAATATCCTGTGCCGTTGGCCGATGGCAGCGGCTACAAATTTTATCCCCCACCAGGGAATGGAAACCTCGACATCAAAGTAGTCCTGCCAAACATCACGTGCGAACACTGTGTAGTCAGGTGAGAACGCGAAACGTGACAGCTCGACAATAATCGATAGAAGAAAGAATTTCACTCGAAGTAAGTTCGGAATATCGTTACGAAGAACGTCGCAATAATATTCTGTCAATTCCGATTAAGGTGGCACTACCGCACCGGAAACACCTGGGGATTATGCGAGAACGGGAAAGGAGCCAACGGCTGTGGTCCTCAGGAGACCTTCCGAAGCTGCGCTGACGTTTCCATCTTTCCGAAAGGCGGTCGGCCAGCGGGACTGGACGCCCCGGAAGTGCCTGCCGATGCGCCCAAGAATCTTTAATGAGGAAAACGGATGATCCGTCGATTCGGGAAGCGCGAGTTCCCGAGCTTGGCGTTTCACTTGACGAGGAAGTTTCTGACCGCTTAAACCAGGACTCGACTGCAAACGTACAAGGAAAAGAAGACGAATCGGCGAATGAGAATGGCCATACGCGGATGGAACTCAGTCAGACTCGCTAATTTGACTCGGTAAATCCGAAAGAAATTGGAAAGTAAACTCGCTTTCGCGACTTCAAAGGCTGCACTATAAAGAGCAAGTTGTTAGAAAACTGTACATTGTTCGATAGTAACTTCACTTTCTTTTGAATTGTAATTTATTTCATTATATTTTCTCACGGTATTCCCCCCGAAGAGAAGAGGGAGAATACATCACATTCTCTCAGTAAAATAATATTAAAATAGCCGGCATTAAAAAGCGCGGAATGTTCGGTAAGATATTGATATACTCAGAAAAGAAAGTTCTATGTTCAAATAAATATTTATTCAGGAATATTAGAGTCATTATATATTTTACTTGAGTCAAGTAATAATAATAATAATAATAATATTTTTTTATTGGGCACAAAAATGATTACAAAATTGGTGAATATCAACGGTGTAAAGCGAGTGACCAAAAAGTAGGGCAACAGCTACACGGATTTTACTTCCTATATAACTGAAGTATTGTAATATAAGCATGGAAAAACATAAAGTATGTAATATAAGCATGGAAAAACATATGAAATAAGGGAACAAGGACTTATATAAGTGAAGTTAATAAGTAGTGACGCAAAACATATTAGGAAAAACATGAATAAAAAATATGATGTACATAATATATCATTTAAATATTTAAAAAAAAGATAGTAAATAAGGTAAATAAGACTCAGCTGGTTGCTGTAAAATGTTTCAATGCAACAGAACGAAAATCATTGAGAGAATCTGCCGACCGCATCTCAAACGGGAAAGAATTATAATATTTAATTACCCATTATGAAAAATATTACTCGGATGTAGCACTTTTTTCCTTTAGCGCGCTATATTCAAGTAATATTTACTTAATCCAAGTAAAATAATGACACCGATATTGCTCCTACAACAAATGTCTCCTAAATCAGGTCTCCTGCAGCAAAAAACATTTACTTGAATATAGCGTTTTTCTTCCAGTGTACGTTCTCAGGAAAGCGTACGATTGTTAATGATTATTAGTACTGATGTCCGGTAGACGCGACAATTTTACATTCCTTTTCCTTTTTTGGACGATATTACGCGCGTAATCGCGACCTCGAAATGAAGGAGAGTTTCCGCGTTGACGTCAGGATTACAAAAGCGGAGCCGGCGTGGGCATTTCCAGCGGCGACGCCTCGTGACAAATCGGACATTCCAGGCGGTCGATCCGACGAAGGGCCCTCCTGAACCACTAATGCGTCATCGCGCATAGAATGTCTCTCGGAGGAGACGGTGAAAGCACGGCCGGCCGTTTTTTAGCCGCTTCGTCATCCAGATGCCCGGATACGAGAGCTCGACACCCGAAAAATCCGGTCGCTTCCCAACGAGCGCGCGTGCAACGTTCGCTCCGAGCATCTCGTGAGAGAAATCACGAATTACGATGTATCTCACCGATTACTTTTACTCCCGCTAATGTCGAGCGAGCGTAATCGGGCATTCCGCGACGGGGAATTCGCGAGCCTCGCTCTTCCCGGCTCCCGGAGGTCTCCTCGTAGCCGGCGCGCGTCCAGGTATTTATGGTACCTAGTGTACCTACGGGCACCGACCCGCGAGCAAGGTGAGTTCGACCGTGCTCCAGCTCGCGGTAGAGGACGCACGCAAAGAGCCTCGCATTGGCTTGCCGAGCTCGTCACCGAGGTGGTGGCGGCGGTACCACCACCTCCTCGGCGGAGGGGAATCCCGCTCACCGCTGCTGCGGTACACTTCACCTCCGGCCTCGGCACGGATCGCGAGCACGGAGGCGAGAGCGAACGGGCTAGTCGCGCGATCGGTGTGTTTCGTGTGCATGTACGTGTGCCTCCAGCGGTGTCCCCGGTTAGTGTTTCGAGGACTGCACGAGAACTCTCCGATTCCTCCTCCTCCTCCTCCGAGAGAGAGAGAGAGAGAGAGAGAGACCCGTCCTCCACCTCCTCTCCCTTCGCTCCTCTCACGTGCGCGCACACAGACGCTTAGGTACACGCGCGCAGGTACGCGCGCAGATATATACACACATACACACAAACGTGCGCGCACACGGAGTGGACCACTCTCTCTCTCTCTCTCTCTTTCTCTCTTTCTCTCTCTCTCTCTCTTTCTTTCTCTACCCCGTACTTTGAAACCCGTTCCAGTCGACCACGGGCTTGTCCGTTGTTCCCGCGTTGTTGCTTTGCCGCGAGCAGCAGCTCGGGCCGAGCTCGAATTTTCCTCGGGTTTTCCGGCCCGTTTTTCGCGATTTTCCCGACTGAGAGAGGGCCCGCGCGAGGTGAAAGGTCCAGTGGTCACGCGCCTAGTGGAACGTGCGTGGTGTCCGTCTCCGTGTGCAGCTCTGTGCAGAAGAATGCGGTAGGATGCGTATCCAGGAAAGATGCTTCCTGCTGGCGGCGGCGGGACTCTGCCTCCTAGGCGGGGTCGCCTACTCCTTGACGATCGCCGAGACGCGGCTCACCACGACGTCCGGTGAGTGTTCCCTGCACGAGGTAAACTTTCTTGGTCTCGGAGAGGAGCGCTCCGAAAGGTACGGCCGGTCAACGCGGAGAAAAATTCCCCCCCCCCCCCT